ACGAGGCCGCCTCCGCAGGCGGAAGACGGCGGAAGGAAAAGCTGCGCCCCCAGGAGATGAAAACGTTTCGGGGTGCAGGGCATCCGCAATCCGCCGTGCGCGTGTGTGTGGGCCTTTGTGCTTCTATGCCATGTTTGCGCGCGTGTGTGTGTGTGTGTGTGTGAATGTGAATGTGAATGTGAATGTGAATGTGAATGTGAATGTGAATGTGAATGTGAATGTGAATGTGAATGTGCGTGTGTGTGTGTGTGCGTGTGTGTGTATGTGTGTGTGTCGTCTTCCCCTGTCTACCACTGCGCCGTGCTTGCCTACCCTTTGCGGCCAGCCACTGCCACCCCACGCATGCACCACTGCATTGCTTGCTCACTCATTCGCTGCCCTACCCCTCGTCGGCTCTTTCCCCCCTCGCGGGTCGTGTTGCGCCTGGCCGATGGGTGAGCCCAGCGCGCACCTGCTGCTGTAAGATGACCCGTCCGCGCGCCGTCCCGCTTTCGGCCGCTAGCCAGACTCCGCTACTTTGCTGCGCGCGTGGCCGCCACGCCAACAAAGTGTGTGTGTGTGCCTGTGCGTGTGCGTGTGCGTGTTCGTGTGCGCGTGTGCGCGTGTGCGTGCGTGCGCGCGTGCGTGCGTGCGTGCGTGTGCGTGTGCGTGTGCGTGTGCGTGTGCGTGTGCGTGTGCGTGTGTGCGTGTGCGTGTGCGTGTGCGTGTGCGTGTGCGTGTGCGTGTGTGCGTGTGCGTGTGCGTGTGTGTGCGCGTGCGCGTGCGCGTGTGCGTGCGTGTGCGTGGTGTGTGTGTGTGTGTGTGTGTGTGTGTGTGTGTGTGCGTGCGTGCGTGCGTGCGTGCGTGCGTGCGTGCGTGCGTGCGTGCGTGCGTGCGCGCGCGCGTGCGTGCGTGCGTGCGTGCGCGCGTGCGTGTGCGTGCGTGCGTGCGTGCGCGCGTGCGTGTGTGCGTGTGTGTGTGTGTGTGTGCGTGTGTGTGTGTGTGTGTGTGTGTTCGTGTGTGTGTGTTCGTGTGTGTGTGTGTGTGTGTGCATGTCTGTGTGGCTGGCTCCTCGGGCATTCTCGTCGCCACTGCTGGATATCTGCCCAGCCTCGCAGCCCTGGCCAGGAACCGCCCCCCCAGGCAGGCCCGGGGGCCGGCTTCCGAGAGGAGGGCCCAGGACGCCCGAGCCGGGGGCCGGAGAGCAGAGGGGCCGGAGAGGCCGCACGCCGCACCGCCGACGCACCGGCGCCGCGGCACGATCGGGACCACGATCTCTCTGATCTCCAGACGCCGGCCGACGCATCGGCGACGCATCGGCGACGCATCGGCGACGCATCGGCGACGCATCGGCGCGCCTGCGACCCCGCCTGCGTGCTGATCTGCACCTCTGGGGGCCCCCGCGCCTCCGGGGGGGCGGCACGCGCCCCGCGGGCCCAGCGGCGGCAGCGCCCCCTCGCGGGCGCGGCCGCCCCCCCCGTGGCGCTCTCTCGGCCTCCGCTCGCCCCGGGGCCCCGGCACGTCGGGCCCCGCGAGCCTCGCGGGGAGGTCTTGGGGGGGCCGGCGGTCCACCACCGCTGCCAGGTGTAGGCAGGAGGGTGGGGGAAGGGAGGGTTGGGGAGGTCCTCGTCCTCCTGCTCCTCCTCCCTCCTCCTTCTCCTCCTCCTCCTCCTCCTCCTCCTCCTCCTCCTGTCCTCCTCCTCCTCCTCCTCCTCCTCCTCCTCCTCCTCCTCCTCCTCCTCCTCCTCCTCCTCATCGTAGAGATTATCTCAAGAACGTTGAAAGGGGATGTGACCCAAAGACTTTCAGCAAAGCTGAGAAAGCCAGAATAGCCGCCCGTTTAGTTACCGACACAGTCGCAATATCCGTAACTCCTCCTCGTCCTCCTCATCATCCTCTTTTTCCTCCCTCTCCTACCTGTGGTAGTGGTGGTGGAAGATCGGCCCATCAAGATCCGGTTCGGCGTCGAGAGCTGCGCCCGTGACTGATTCACGCCGTTGCGTTTTTGTTCCACGGCGTCGAATTTCAAGGCCTGCGGGATAATGCAGGGTTCGTCTGTGGGGTACGCCTTGGCGTTGGGGTTCGGCTAGGGCGCACGTCGTGTCGTGGAGTCGTAGATTAGCAGCCGGTCTCATTACAGCTTGCTTGCATACCACATTCGTAGATTATTGAGCCCAACGTGAGAGTTGCAATCACTTGTTTGCCACATGCGCAAAGCAGACATTCCCCCGCTGAGGTGCTCTTGCTCGCTTGGACTTTCTTGCTGGGTTCCCCTCCATGCGAGGCTGATCGGGTCACGCCTCGAGTACACATCCGAGCTCTGTATATCCAGACTCTAGCTGCCTGGGACTGTCCTGGTCCTCCTGTGACCGCCGCCAGCAAATCACAATGGCCCGACGAGGGGCCGGGCCAGTGTGGAGAGGGGCCTTGGGTCTACAATACTTCACCATCTTCGCAATTCAGACAGGATCACGGTTCGTGCAATGGCGCCCTCTTGGACGCTACTGTCGAGGGTCACGGTCAATGTGTTGCGCATTGCCTTGCTGACCCGCCGCAAACGTGCTGAGGCAAAATAAGCATGACTTTTGCTTTCGCGCGGGGGGAGGCTCCAGGGGCAGACCATCGGCTCTGTCTGGGCGCGGCCAGAATTGTCAGCAGATTTCTCACCACCTTCTGGATGCCAGGGTCGGGGTTTCTTGGCACCGCTCGGGCGTGTGCATGCTCTCTCGGCGGGTACCATCGAGGAAAACCCTGGACCGTCTGGCAAAACAAAGCACGCACGACACCGACCAACGCACAGGACATGGCCGCCCGAGCGATGGCAGGGCTTCGGCGGAGCGCGCCGCCCTCTCTCCGTTCTGGGGCCCCTCCGTGCGCTCCCCGCCCTCGCCCCCCCCCCCCTCTCCGAGCGCCGCTGGCGTCCAGCACAACCTGCCGCCCCGCGTGACACGCACTCTCGCGCAGCTTCGGCCCAGTGCCTCCCCGACTGTCCCCGGCCCCGGGCCTTCGAGGATCGCTTTTGTTTGTTTTTGTTTGTTTTGTGCGAGGCTTGTGCAAAAACATCAAACTTCTCCAACCAAACATCGGGGGTGGACAGACCTCCTACCCTGACACGTCGATCAGCAAATGGGCCGTTTTCGGTTCGCGAGAGGGCGTCGCGGCCGTCATTTTTGCGGGTCCAGGTCCGTCGGTTTCGGTCCTGGGCCGCTTTCACTAAAGAGAGGTTTACTAAAGGGAGGTTTGTCCACCGCCAAAAAAAACACATCCTGGCCTTTTTCCCTGATTGGCAGCCCAGGCCCGTCAGTGGGCCCCAGAACCACCAAAGCGGACCTGAGGCGAAAGGCTACAGTGGGGGCCCATGCCAAGAAACACCCTGCTCGCCTCCGGGGTGCCCTGGGTTTCGTGAATCTCGATGGATCTGCCATGGAAAGCGCGACGCTCCCGCAACAAAAAACCAGTGGACGCCCTGGGGTCTCAGGTCTGGGTTCTTGTGGCAGGCTTCTTGTGGACGGGCCTCCACTGCACCCCCAGGCTATTGGCATCGCTCGGACGTGTGCATTTTTTCTCGGCGAGGTTCATCGAAGAGCATCCTGGATCATCGAGCAAATCAAACACGCACAAACTCGAAAAACGCACAGGGAATGGACGTCCGAGCGACGGCAAGCAGGGCAGGGGTCGGGACCTCTGGGGCCGCGGGGCGTGCGCGCGCGCCTGGCTCGCCCGAGGCCTCGTCGGCCTTGCCGGCCTCCAGGGCCCGCCGCTCGTCGAGGACCCTCGGGACGTGTGCTGAGCCACGGTGTGCGTGCATGCGCTCCCCCGTATAGCTCTGGCGATGGCACGCAGCCCGTGCTGGCCCCTGCCCTCTGCCCTGGTCACCGGATGCGGGGACTTTCCAGTCGCGACCGGCGAGGTCGGTCGCTGCCGATTCTTCTTCCATTCTCGGTATCGGTCGCGACCGACGTGCTTCAACATCGGTCGAGACCGATCTGTCGCGACCGGCCGGCCGCGATCGGTGGCGACCGGCCTCGACCGATTTTGGGATCGGTCGCGACCGGTTTGGAGTGCCGATCGGTCGCTACCGATCGCGACCGACAAACATAGTATCCAATGGTCTGGGTACTAGCTACGCCGCCTGCGTCGCACTGGAAGGCCTCGGCGGACAAGCACACGTTGGCGTTCACCGGGCCTCCGACCGACGGCTGGAGGTTTTTCCTCTTATCGAGGCGTGGCCTCCCATCCCATGGAGCCCCCGTTGGAGAGAGCAACACGGGTGCGGCGCTGCCACGGCAGGGGCACTGGTGGCGGAGGAGACGGAGCATGGGGGCAGGCGGACGGGAGCGGGATGGGGAGGAGAAGGAAGAGGAGGAGGAGGAGGAGGAGGAGGAGGAGGAGGAGGAGGAGGAAGTCAGATGGCGTCAGATGCAGGAGGACTGAGGCGTCCCAAGGAGGAGGAGGAGGAGGAGGAGAGGAGGAGGAAGAGGAGGAGGAGGAGAAGGAGGAGGAGGAGGAGGACCTGAGGACGAGGAGGAAGGGGAAGAGAAGGCAGAGGAGAAGAAGGAGGAGGAAGAAGAGGAGGAGGAGGAGGAGGAGAGCGTTCCGAGGATCATCGCCCTTGGCCGCGGAGCCACTTTGGCTCGAGCGGCGGCCCCCAGGTGCCGGCGGCCGCCGCCCGCGGCGGGCGGGCTGGCTGCGGCAGGCGGCCGCGCAGCCAGCGGCGCCGCCGCGCAGTAGGCGCCCGGCGCCCCCGGCGGCTGCGCGGGGGCCGAGGCGGCCTCGCCGAGCCAAGGCTCGCTCGAGCTGGGGCCTGGGCCGCCGGCTGCCCCGCCGCGGCTGCTGTCGCGGCTGGCGCCGCCGCCCCGCCCGCCGCCCGCCGCGCCAGGCGGCTGGGAGGCCGGCGGCCCCGCCGCCGCTGCCGTCCGGCGCCGCCGCCTCGCCCGCCGCCCGCCGCGCCAGGCGGCCGAGAGGCCAGCGGCCCCGCCACCGGTGTCGTCGCGGCCGGCGCCGCCGCCGCGCTCGCCGCCCGCTGCGCCAGGCGGCCAGGAGTCAGTACCGTTGAACCGATCCCTATCCCCATCACCGTCCACATCTCGAGCCCCGCCGTCACACCACCCCAGTTGGGAATATTCCCCTCGAAACCCGAAGAGAGCAGCCTATACCCCCATCCAGGAGGGTAAATCGGCCTGTGGGGCCCAGCCCACGCTTGTGGGGACGGGGATCGGCTCAACGATGCTCAAGGAGGCCGGCGGTCCCGCGCCCGCGGCGGCCGCGCCAGCGTCCCGCCGCCGTGCGCGCCGCCATGGTGCTGCCCGCTGGCGCTGAGTGCGCACAGCCGCAGGCGGCCCAGGATCCTACGCTGTGGGTGGTGGCGGTGCTTGAAAAACAGAATAGAGCAGCGCAAGCAGAAACGTTTGACAGTCCTCGCGGGTCTCTTGGATCCGCGATGGGACCCCCTGGCGGCGCCTCCAGCGGCGCCCCTCCGCGCGCCGGGGAAGGGGGGTTCAGCGCAGATCCAAGAAATCCGCGCGGAGCGCCGAAAGGTTACGCTTATGCTGTCTCTAGCCCCCCAAGGTGCCGAGTTACGACCGGGTGGAGGTTCTCAGGGCGAAGACGCTGAAGTTGCTCTTGGAGAGCCTGCATCCGAGCAGGATCTTCGTCTTCGCGGCCCCCTCGCAGCTGGAGGAGTATCTGGGGGACTCGCGCCGGTCCGCCTGCCTACGGTTCTCGAGGACGTCCGTCGACGCCCCTGGGGGGGGGGAGCGGTTACAGAGAGGGCGAGTGGCGGCAAGGAGGAGAGCGAAGGGGAATGAGGACAGTCCAGCCGCAGCTGGGGGACCTGTGTTCCTTACCCCTAGGGGGCGCATCGGCTTCGACGCCTCTTTCGAGCTATTGTCGACACGAAGCGTTTTCTGATGGGGGCACGGAGCGCTGCCTCTGCAGTTGTGGTGGGCCAGGAGGAGGCGGGGGCAAAAGGGGCGAACCGGAGAGAATCAAGAGGGGAAGAAGCACACAGACAGAAGTATTCGTCGACTTCCAGGGCAATTATGTGAAACTATGGGAGCTTGGGGGAAGACGAGAATCCAGGGAATGTGGAACATGTTGGGGAATCCTGGGTGTGTTTCTTTGCGTGCCCCTGGGCCCCTTGAGCAAGGGGGGGAAGGCGGGATGGGAAGGAGGGAGGAAGCGCAGGGGGGGGGGGAAGGACGCGAATAGGACCAAGACAGAAATGGGGCCCTCCAAAACAAGGGCTTTGCCTTCGAGGATCTAAGGAGTTGCCGTCTCTTCCTCGGCAGAGGGCGTCGACAGGGCGGCGGAAGCTGGAAGGCAGCGGGAGCAAGACACGACCTCCCGAGACATGGCAACATTTCGGGGTTCGGGGTTTCCGAAGTCCGCCAAAGGAAGGGCGTGGTGGGGCCGGGGGGGCATCAGTCCCAGGGTCCCATCCGCCGTGTGCCGCTCTAGAGAGGCACAAGCTGGGAAAAGGCTCAGTTGCCTTTTGGGCCCACGCGCTGGTACCATGACTCACAGGAGGGGAACAAAAACACACACACACACAGACACAAGTAATCGGCCACTCCCAGGAAATTTAGAAAAATATGGAAACTGGGGGGGGAAGCGAAAACCCAGAAAATATAAGGAAATAGGGGAAATCCTGGGATTTGTGTGTACTTCTTTGTGTGCCCCTGTGCCCCTTTCAAGCTGGGAGGAAGCTCAGTTGCCTCTGGGTCCACGCGCTGGTGCCACGACTCACTCCGCTCCCTCGGGGCCCGTCCTGCCGCTGCCGCAGGCTTCTCTCGGAGGAGCCAGGCGTGTCTCCGAGGGTGTATTGAAGAGCGCCCGGGTGGGTGCCCAGGAAAGTGGGGTGTGTCAATTGCCAGGCGAGTGGAGCTCTTGTCTTAGGCATTTTGGAGGAGTGGAGCTTTGGTCCAGGCAGCCCTCTAGGCCGCCCTGGAACACCCTCGGGTTGCCCAGGGCCCTGCAGACGGGGCGTCGGTGAACGGGCTGGCAGCTGAGGGTGCGTTGTCAACGGTGTCTTCAAAACAATTGTTTTGCTGCGCGCAGGTGCGAGGTACCCCCCCGCCGAGAGTTGTGATATGTATCGACGTTTTTGTCGCCCCGATGTGTCACGCGCTAGCGCGATGTAAAGGCTCTGTCACCCCGTTCCCGCTTGAAGAGGCCCCTGAGCTACCGCCCCGTTTACCAACGCCCCGCTTGCAGGGGCCATAGGTCCGAAGCGAAACAAAGACGTATGTGCACATGAATTCACATTGGCTTCGAGAGAGCGCATAATTACGCGAGCGTTCTCCACGCGAGGGTGACCTCGCGAACTGCGGCTGAGCGCGTGCGTCTTCTTGGGGCTCCCTAACAGGGCAGCGTGCGATCTCTTTGGGGCCTCAGTGGAGCGAGTTGGTACAGTGGGGGCTCATGCAAAGAAACACCCTGCTTGCCTCCAGGGTGCCCTGGATGTCTTGGGTTTCGATTGTTTTTCTATGGAAAGCGTGACGTTCCCACACCAAAAATGAATGTACCTACTGGGGTCTCAGGGTTAGGTTTCTTGTGGCAGGAAGCCTCCATTTTACTGCATTGTACGCCTCTGGGCGCGCGTGGGGTCTTCAGAAGGCTTCCTGTTTCGTCTTGGAGACAGGACCCATGACCCTATCAACCATACCACTGCGTAGACCAACACCTGGAGACCCATGCCAAGAAGCATCCTGCTTGCCTCCAGGGTGCCCTGGGTTTCTTGGGTTTCGATGGTTTTGCTATGGAAATCGTGAGGTTCACACACCAAAATATCAATGAACGTCCTGGGGTCTCAGGGTTGGGTTTCTTGTGGAAGGTGTCTTGTGGTCGGGCCCCTCTTGTACTCTACCCTACCGAGGCCGCGTCTGACCTTCTCGTGACGCCCCGAGACGCTCGCCAGCCACCAGGATCCTGCCCCAACCATACGAGAATCATATCCGGAACCAGCCAAGGCCCTTGTAGGATCCCAGCAGGGCCTGAAAAAGACGACCTTACCAGGACTCTGAAGAGACCCTGGCAGAACCCTACCAGGACCATCCATGAGCTTAGCGTAAGCCTTTTGGTATTTAGGGCCTTATACAATAATCCGATCAGGACCCCGACCCCGTCACAACACCCCACAAGGTCCTCCGCAGGACTCTACAACGATGGTTTTGGAATCTTGAGAATTTCCCTACAAAGACTGCACGGAGTTTCTACCAGCGTTCCTGAATGGCCAGGTACTAGGACACCACAATCATGTTACCATCACGTTGACGATCGAAAATGCCTACGGCGAACCAAAGCCGCTGCCCCCTGTTTTTTGGAGACGCCTATCTGGCCCAACGATGGGCCAACGTTTGGCGAAGGGATTGGAACACGGGTTCCCCCAGTCGTGGTGCAAACCCTTGGGAGAACACTTGGGAGAGGAAGAGCAGAAGGGACATGAGAGGGAAGAGGAGGAAGAGGAGGAGGAGGAGGAGGAGGAGGAGGAGGAGGAGAAGGAGGATTCATTGATTTAGCTCTTGGTCAGGTTTGGAAGCCAGGGCAAAGAGGAAGGGAACGTGCCTGCAGTGGCGAGAGCCACGCGTGGAGAGGTGTCATGGGGGACACCCCCCGCCCAGCCCCTGCATCAGGCACTAACCCCCGCCCGACCCTGCCGAAGCCTCGGGCAGGATACCGCCACAGGCTCCGTCCTCGGGGCTGCTCTGCGCGCCGGTTCCCGCCGGCCTCGGCGCTACCTGGCCGCCGCAAGAGTGCCCCCTGGACACGCGCAAGACCTCACGAGAACCCGACCCGATGCCAAGGCGGCCCCGCGACCCCGGTGCCTTTGCAAGACGGGCTCCGAAATCGCCTGGAGGCCCGACAACGCGGCGGGTTCGTGTCGCGGCCAAGAGAACCCCGACCCGGTGCCGAGGCGGCCCCGCGACCCCAGTGCGTTTGCAAGCTGGGCTCTCAAATCGCCTGGAGGCCCGACACTGCGGCGGGTTCGTGTCGCGGCGCCCCCGGCGGCGGTCTCCGACGCCGCGTGGTGTTCGTTCCACCTGGAACGGTGGGCGGCCCTCCGATCGCCGGATCGCTCCACACTGGCCGATGCTGCTGGGCCGATCTCTCGAACGCCCGCGGCGGCGTCGCCGCGGCGTTGGACGCGGCGCGAGCCCAGCGTGCCTCCAGGGCGACCCCCCAGAGGGCCGAGTGATCCGCACACGACCTCGGCGAGGCTTCCAGCGGGCCGCGGGCCAACCGCAGGGCGGCCCAGCAGATGCGCAACCGGCGGTGGAGAGATGCCCCGATGGCCCCACGATGGTCCCTACGTGGGCCCAGAGTTGCATAACCAATGCCAGAACAGTGCCAACACGAACTCAACCTGCGGGATTTCCATCCCGCCCAGGATTCACGGGAACCCCATGTTTTCCCAGACACCCTGTGGTGCTGGGCCGTCTTTTCTCCCAGCCATATTGTGGTGCTGGGTCCTCGTTTTGACAAGGCAGCGCCCGCGCTCCTTCTCCTCGTCACCTCCCTCCCCCTCCTCCCTCCTCCCTTCCCTGCCTCTGCCCTCCGCACCAGTCAGCCATTCCGGTACACACCTCACACGCTTCATGGCCCCAGTGGGTGGTGTTCGTATTCGCCCAACGCACCCATTTCGGCACACCCCTCGCACGCTCCGTGGCCCCATAAGGGAGCTCCCCCGAAGGCCCAAGAGGCTGCGTTCGCGTGCGCCTACCGCACACATGCTTGCACACCCTTAGCACGTTGCCACGTTGCGTGACCCCATAGGGAATTCCACCGAAGGCCCCAGTGGGTGGTGTTCGCATGCGCCCACCTCACCCACTTCGGCACACCCATCACACCCCACAGGGAGCTCCACCGAAGGCCGAAGTGGCTGCGTTCGCATGCGCCCCGCCCACCGCGCCCATGCCAGCACACCCCTCACACGTTTCGTTGCCCCACAGGGAGCTCCACCGAAGGCACCGGTGGCTGCGATCACATGCGCCTGCCGCACCTACTGCGGCAGACCACTCACGTTTCATGTCCCCATAGGGAGCCCCACCGACGACCATGTGCCCACCGCACCCATGTCGGCACACCCCTAAGACGCTTCCTTGCACCACAGTGAGCTTCACCGAAGGCCCAGCGGCTGCGTTCGCATGCGCCCACCGCACCAATTTCGGCACACGTCTCACACGTTTCGTGGTCCCACGAGCCCCGCCGAAGGCCCAAGTGGTTGCGTTCGCATGCGCACATGGCGCGCACTTCGGCACATCGCTAACGCGTATTGTGGCCTCACAGGGAGCTCTACCGAATGCACCAGAGGGTGCGTCCGCATGCGCCCATCGCACCGCGCCCACGTCGGCACAAGCCTCCACCGCTGTGTGTCCACATGGGGGGCTCCACCGATGGCCCCAGTGGCCGCGTTCGCATGCGCGCGCAGCACCTATTTCGCCCCCTCCCCGCCCCCCAACACGTCTCGTGGCCCCACAGGGAGCTCCACCGACGGCCAAATGGCTGCGTTCGCATGCGCCCACCGCGCCCATGTCGGCAAGCCCCTCACACGTTTCATGGCCCCATAAGAAGCCCCACCGAAAACACCAGTGGTGGTGTGAGCATGCGCCCGGCCCGCCCACACAATTCGTAGCCCCGTGAGAAGCAACACCGACTGCCCGCGTGGCGGTGTTCGCATGCGTCTGCCCCGCTCGGTCTCGTCTCATTTCTCACACGTTTCGTAGCCCTGTACATACGGAGCGCCACCGAAGTCCCAGTGGCTGCGTTCGCATGCGTCGTTTCCGCCCATGTCGGTACTTCGCTCGCGCGGTTCGCGGCGGAGCTCCACCGAGGGCCCCAGTGGCGATGTTTGCATGCGTCCGCCCCGTCCATTTCGGCATGCTTTTCACACGTTTCGTGGGCCCATGGGGGGCTCCACCGAAGGCGATACTCGCAACAGCGTTATTCACAACTGCATATGGCTGCGTCGTTCGACAGTTTAACTGAACCATCAGCGACCCGCGTCTCCCTCCTCCTACCCCCTCCCCTTGCTCCCTCCTCCCTCCTGCCCATCCCTGCCTCTGCCTTCCTGCGCACTCTCATGCCGGCACACCCCTCGAAGATGTTTGTGGCCTCATGCGGAGCCCCACTGAAGGCACCAGCTGCAGGGTTCGCATGAAGGCCCTGGCCGATTTCGGCGCGCCCCTTACACGTCTCGTGGCCCCGTGAGGAGCTCCACCGAAGGCCCCAGCGGCAGGGTTCGCATGGCGGCCACGCCCCATTCGGCGCACTCCTCGAACGTTTCGCGGGCCCATCGGGGGCTCCACCGAAGGACCCAGTGGCAGGGTTCGCATGGCAGCCTGATTCGGCGCACCCCTCACACGTTTCGCGGGGACCGCCCCACTTCGGCACAAGCCTCCCGCGTTTCATGGCCCCATGGAGAGCTCCACCGAAGGCTAAAGAGGCAGGGCTCGCCCTGGCCCATGTCGCCGCATCCCTCACACCACGTTTCGTGGCCGCATAGGGAGCTCCACCGAAGGCCCCCGCTGGCAGGGTTCGCATGGTGGCCCTGGCCGATTTCGGCGCACCCCTTACACGCTCAGTGGTCCCCAAGGGAACTCGGGAGCTCCACCAGCCCATGTCGGCGCACCCTTCAGACGTGCTCCACCGAAGGCCCCAGCGGCAGGGTTCGCATGGCGGCCCCAGCCAACTTCGGCACAACCCTCCCCCGCTGCGTTGCCTGATATGGAGCTTCATTGAAGGCCCCAGCGGCAGGGTTCGCATGGCGTCCCCGGCCCATTTCGGCGCACCCCTCACACGATTCGCGGCCCCATGGGGGGGCCCCACCAGAGGCCCAAGCGGCAGGGTTCGCAGTCGGCCCCGGCCCATTCCGGCGTACCCCTCACACGATCCGTGGCCCCATGAGGAACTCCATGGAAGGCTCCAGCGGCAGGGTTCACATGGCGGCCCTGGCCCATTTCGGCACACCCTTCCCATGTTTCGCGGCTCCAAAGGGAGCTCCACCGAAGGCTAAAGAGGCACGGTTCGCTTGGCGGCCCCCGCCCATTTCGGCGCACCCCTCGCGCGTTTCATTTCCCCATGGGGAGCTCCACCGAGGGTCCAGTGGCAGGGTCGCATGGCATCCCCGCCCCAATTCGGCGCACCCTTCACATGTTTCGGGGCCCACAGGGAGCTCCACCGAAACTGGTACCCACAATGTAGTTTTCAAACTGCATGCCCAGGTCCTTCGCCTTGATATTTATAAGTGTCTTTTACATCCTGCACGGAGACTACATTACTACATTATTACATAGCACCCCGCAGTCGCGGATAAGAGTGAGGTGGCGGCGGGGACGTCTGCAGTCTGCGAGGCTCTGAAAAAAAACCGCCGCAGGCGCCGAAATTTTACAAATTGTGCAACGGATTGTGCAACGAGCCCGCCGCAGGCGCCGATGTTTTGTTAAATCAATGTGGGTGGGCCGCGGGTTGGGTCGCAGATGGGTAGCGAATTGGTCGCGGGTTGGTTGTTGGTGGCTCGCTGGTGGGTTGCGGGTGGGTCGCGGGCTTGGTCGCGGGTTGGTCGCGGGTGGGTCGCGGGTCGGTCGCGGGTGGGTCGCACGTGGGTCGCGGGTGGGTCGCGGGTCGGTCGCGGGGTGGTTCGCGGGTGGGTCGCGGGTGGGTCGCGGGTGGGTCGCGGGTGGGTCGCGGGTGGGTCGCGGGCCGGGTCGCGGGGGGGACGACGCCAAACGACAACAAACAAACAACAATAAGAACCCGCATCGCGGAATCCCACTTCAGCCACGCACCAAGGGACAGTGAATAACCGTTCGACCCCCTCACTCTGATAATATATTATGATATATCAGGGGGGGGGCCGGAGCCCGGCCAGGCAACACAAGACGGTTTCGGGGTTCAATGCCTCACGCACCCTTGTCCCCCTCAGGGCTGCCGTCGCGGTGAGCTCGTGTTTGCGAGTAACATGTGCATTCGGACGCGCTGACAGAAGTTCAAGGGACTTCTGGCATGGCGTTGTATCGCCTGTCAGCCCACCATTGCCGCCAACCAGAGGGAGGGAGGGGCTGCGGGCCGCGTCAAGGATGACTATTACTATTAGCTTTCATTCTCCCCCCCACCCCACCTCAAACTCCTCGTCCGTGTACGGCGCTAGGAAGGGGTGGCACGGGGATCAGGTGAGAAAGAATTGCGGCTGTTACGATCTTGCAAACGCCCTGAACCTACTCAGGCGTTGCCGACTTCTAAATATTCCCTTCAACTCCTGCCGCTGGGCCGACTGCACGTGGGTCGCAGCCCTTAGCACCTCGTCGATCCTTTCGTGCCTCATCGACGCCACCTCATCCTGAGCAGCGGTATTGTTCTCGACCCAGGGCGTCGTATCGGCCATGTCCTTAGTCCACCCTGCCTCCGGCCGTTTTTCAACAGCGGTGTCGGTCTTGATCGGGGGCTTGGCATCGGGCGTCTCCTTCGTCGCCTCCACGGTCTCCTCGACCTCGATGTGTTGGAGCCTCACATATATCTCGCTTTTGTCCATGGCGAGCTCCCCATCCTTCTTCTCCAGCCTTTTCTTCATGCCGGCCAGCTCGGCATCGGGGAGCCTGCCTCCTTCCTCGAAGCTCGTCTTCTCATCCAGTATCTGCGCCTTCTCCTCGACAGCCTCTGTGAGCTGCGTCACCCTCTGCTCCAGCTCAGCGTTGTGCTGGACCTTATCCCTCGGTTGTGACAGCTTCTCGTGCTCCCTCGCCTCGAGCGCCTGCGAGTCGCTGAGCTTGATCTCGAGGTCCTTCTGGTGTGCAATCACCGCCTGCTCGGCGGTCATGGCCCGCTCCTCGGATACCTCCACGTGAGGCTCATGCATGCTCTCTGCGAGGTCGTCCGTGTGCTTGACGATCCTCTCGGCGCATGCAACCTGTGGCATGAACTGCATGATGTCCGCCCTGAGCTCGTAGAGCATCGCCTTTAGGTCGTCGGTTCTGTCCTTGAGTAGCACGTTCTGCTTGTGGCACCCTCAGTCGGTGAGCTGCTCTTGGTCCCATTCTCGGTCTCGCCCTGAGTGTCCACATTCACACTGTCGAACACCCCGCCCCAGGGTTGATTATGCCATGCTCCTTACCGCTACAGCCCATGGTCCGCATTCTCTGTATCCTGGTGCTGCTCGTGATGTGCCGTGGCGTCTTCCCCATTGAGGTTGTATTCCACGGCTTTGCCGCCACTACTTCCCTGAAATGTCCATCTCCGCGCATCAGCGTCTTCACTCTCACGTGCCAGGGTACCGCAACATCTAGGCCGCCTCGTCGACCGCACGCCAACGCCGCACCGCATGCGAGTGGGAGTGCCTCCCATCGCCCGCTACTTCTGCAAGCCTCTGGCGAGCGTGGTGCCGCCCACCGCCACGGTGATGTCCGCCGCAGCCTGGAGAGCCTCTGGCGAGCGTGGTGCCGCCCACCGCCACGGTGATGTCCGCCGCAGCCTGGAGCAGCGAGGCCGCCTTGGATTCCTGCGGGCCACCCGCCGCTGTGCACGCCCTTGGCCGCCGCCATTCGCGCGGGGTGCTCCGGATTCCAAAATTAAAGTGGGGGGTCACATTTGGGGGGCGGGTCTGATTTGAGCTGTCTTGGAGGGTTCGGGGGGGGTCTGGGCAAAGGGCCGCCCGTTCATGGATGGTCTGGGGGGGGTCTCAGACTTCTCGTCCGGGAGGGTTGTGACCCCCTCCCTTGTATTACGAGATCTGGAGTGGCCTGCGTGCAGTTCGAGCATGAGCTCAGCTGCATCCGCTGTCGTCGCCACTGTCTCTACGGACATGCTGCTGTGGCGCACTGCAACGCCTGGCCTACCGCCTCGCTCCCTCGAGCAGACTGGCAAGCGGCCGCCCGCGGGCGTGCAGGCCCCGGGCTCTCGTGAGGGTGGAGCGGGGCCCGCTGCCTTCGGCCACAAACGGCGACGGGAGGAGGAGGAGGAGGGAGGGACGGAGGAGGAGGAGGAGGACGACGACGAGGAGGTGGCCTCCTGTGAGCCTCTTGGGGCCGCCTTGGGCGGGGCCTCTTGGTGGCCTCTTGTGGCCACCTGGGGCCGTCTCGGGGCCATCGTGGACCATGTTGGAGGCCGTATTTGGCCATACTGGCAGATTCAGAAGCCATCGTGGCTGTGTTGGAGGCCATCTTGGATTCTCTTGGGGCCCTCTTGGGGGCCTCTCGGGCCGTCTTGAGGCCATCTTGGAGGCTTCGTGGGCCCTGGATGGAGTGCTTCGGTTCCGCACAATGTCCTTTGAACCGTGTTGGGCCAGTCTTCGGCTATCTTGGGCCGTCTGGGCCCGAGACGGTTGGGAAAAGGAACCGCGATTTACTTCTTCACGTTCCTTCTTCAGTGTGTGTGTTTTTGTTTGGGGTTTCTTGGATCCCAGGAAAGGTCTGGAGGCCATGTTGGCTTCGTGACGTCCGTCTAGATGACATCGCAGCTCATCTTTCTGCGCGCCGTTATTTCACAACGATGCGGGGAAATCCGCGTGCGTCTGGGGGCCTTCTGGGGCCTGGGCCCTCCCAGTTCAGGAGCGCGGGGCCGTACGGGACCGCGTCGCGCTTCGCTGGGAATCTGGATCCCAAGAGGGGTGAGCGCAGGGAGGGGAGCAGTCAAACACATCAAATGTCCTGCCACCCATGGCACACAGGGGTCGGCGGACAAACGTGCTCTGCAAGGCCTCGGCGTGCATGTGTGCGAAGGCGGGCAAGGAATACGTGCACAGCGCAATTGCATAATGCGATACTTCCAGCGGCACTTCCCACGACGTCAACGGGTGTTGGAAGTCGACGATGACTTGGACGGTTTGGTTACGGTGACATTTCCTGCGGCAGAGGCCGACGGCAGCAAGCCCCACAACTCGGGGAAGCTGGTCCACGTCCCGAGGTCCAGCTTCAAGGCGTTGGTGGACCTGCTCTGGCACGTGGCGCTTGAGGACCACGGGTGTGCTATGTGGGGCATCTACAACGCTGCCAATCCATCCTGGATGTCCCAGCGGCTGACCAAAGGCATCGTCCACACGACTGGCCAGCTGCAAGCATACGAAGTGCCAGACCGAGACGTGTCATTGACGTGTGAAGTAATGGAGGATAGGCAACGCTTCGCGTGGGGCACGGCTGGACATAGAAAAAACACCGATCCCCCCAACCGGACGGCGAAAGAATTGCAGACGGGAGCAGCGAAGGTCGATGTTGCCCTTCGTGTGTCATCAGCTCCTCCTTCGCCTCATCCATCGCCTGGCCATCCTCCTCCCGCTTCTCCCTCTTCTCGTCCTCATGATCCTCCTCCTCCTCGTTCTCGTGTGCGAGCTCGTCCCTGTCCTTTCGTCGTTGCGCGCCCTGTCTCCGCGGTGCAGTTCAGCTGCCGCTCAAATCCGCCATTGCGCTAGGCGAAGCAGCGGCCCGCGAGAAGTAGAGCGCGTGAATCTCACAAGTGGCGGGCGTTCGGTCGCATGGCCTCGATGCGCACGTGGCCGAACGTCCGGGCCCGCCGTGGGTGGGAGGATGAGGAGGACGCCGAGGCAGGTGGAGGGCGACGAAAATGAGAGACAGGAGGGGGGGGGATCTATGGGAGGAGGAGGAGGAGGAGGAGGAGGAACAGTGGAATCATATAGGAATGGACAGGCGGACGGGGGGGATGGAGGAAAGGATGGGAAGGGGGGGGGCCTTAGGGCCTTCTCGGGCCATCGTGGGCTCTATTGGGGCCCTCTTGGGGTCACCTGGGGGTCTGGAGACCCTTGTGAAAGGTTTAGGGTCCGCTGGCAAAGATCTTGGGGCCCTTCAGGACGGTCGTGGGACGCACTGGAGTCCTGATACAATGCCGGGTGCTATCTCTGGACAGATGGGGACATTTTGCGTTTGTTTTGGGCCATGTGACGCTTCTTGGGGGCCTCCTGGACTCCCGGATATCATCGTTGGCCTTTGGGGGTCATCTTGCAGAAACCGATGAGGTGTAGGATACAACACGCGAGCTATCTCCGATAATTCATGGCCTGGCTCTATGTCTGGGTGTCTCGAGCGAGGGCTCCAGAACTGAATCGGGCCCTGAGCTCGAGCTGGTCGAGCGCCGCGCGCGTTTCGATTGCAACTGGCCCGAGCTATGCGCTCAGACAGCCCGAGCTTAAGATCAAAGTCAGTTCGGTCAGGATTCTGACGCCAAGCACGGCTTGACTCACAGTGCAATAGCGCACGGCACAGTTCATCGCGGCATGCCCCCTGGCGCGTCCGCTGGCACTTCCAGGGGGACGTTTTGTTGCGCGTCCCTGGCGCGTCACTACGCGGCGCGGCACAGCGCAGAGCAGCACAACACAACCTTCGGCATAAAACCACCATCATTGGTATCCTCAGCATTGCCACTGCCCGTGGCCAAACTGAGGTGCTTGGAAACGTTCCCATGCTTCGCAGTTCTAAATCCCTTTCCGGGTTCGTGGGCCAATCACGTTTGAAAAAATCACGTTGCGAAACCAAGTTTTTTGTTGTCTTCGCGAGGCTTGATTTTGAAACGCTTGCGGAACCTGTGGCTATTGAAGAATTTTGGCGCACGCGCGCGACGACGTGCGTGTGCACATCGCCCCAGTCTGTGGCAATGGACTCTTGCAAATGGGTCAGTTTTGGTAAACGGGTGTGCGCGCATAGTGTCTTTTGCAGGGAGCGCTGGGGGAGGGGGGGTCGAATTTGGCCTGGCGGGGGTCGTATGTTCAAAGTAAAATTAACGAAGGGGCAGAATTGTTTTCAAATTGCACATCCTGAGGGGGATCGGTAATCCTGGCTTCAGGGGAGTGGTAGATCAAGTTTCAAGGAAGTTGTAGGTAACGCAACTAATTTTGAAGAGCTCGGACTTGTCAGTTGCACGGCACGCCCAATCATCCCACCCACCCGCCCGCCACTTGGTCTGCAAAACTCGCTGGGGACTTCCCAGCGCATCTCGCAGGCTGCACTGGCGCGCGTGCGTTTCAGTGCGAGTCGGTGACTCGGGCGGCGCAAGAGCCCGCGCCGCTTTCTTGTACGACTGCCTTTATTTGAGTGGGATCGCGCCCTCCCCCAGCACTCGCGCAAGAGCGTTCGAATGATCCCTACACGCGCGAGCGAGATGCCCGCTTGGTGGTCGCATTTCAGTACTATGATGGACAACCGCTGCTTTTCTATAGGATTCCCGAGAGCGATCGCGCAGATCTTTTGAAAAGTCATGCCGCGAACCTTTTGGCTCGTACCTGTTTGCAGGAACCTCGATTTTGAAATCCTTACGGAACCTACGGTTTTGAGAGATTCCGGCATGCACGTGTGACGACGCGCGCGCGTCGACTTTGTTTGACTTCTTTTCGCACGTTTTGGTTGAAAACCTGCGGTCTTGTACCGACGAGTGCGCGCGCATAGTATCATGTGATCGGGCTGGTGGTTGGTCGAGTGCGGCCTGCCTGCGGTGGTATGAATAATGAGCGATGGGGCTGGACCGTGTGTAACTTGTATCGTCCCGGAGGGAACCGACGCAACCAGGGAGGGTGGATCCAAACTCCGTTCTACCGACTAGACGTAAGAGTGACCTTTCGCCGGAGTGACCTTCGGTGCGGGCACAGATGGGTCCCCAGATCGCTGAGAACGAGGCAGTCGCAGCTGCCTGTGCGCCCAGGTTCGGTCCCCCTGCGGCCCCCAAGAAGTCGCGCACCAAAGGTCACTCTTACCCAGGGTCACTCTTGCGTGTAGCCGATTCTAGAGCGATAATCCATGTGCCAAGCAGTTTGAGCCAACGCAGACCCAGACGATGGGGCTGGACCGTATGTGCCCTGTGTCGTCCCAGAGGGAGCCGACGCAACCAGGGAGGGTGGATCCAAGCTCCGTTCTAGAGCGGGTAATCCATGTGCCAAGCAGTTGGAACCAACGCGGGCCCGGACGATGGGCGGCGCCGAGGCGGCAACGGGGCGCCGACGGGGCGGCGGCACCGGCAACGCAGCCGCCAGATCGCCACCCGGGCCCGGACGACTGGCGGCGGCAGGCGGCGGCCACCGAGCCGCCGGATCGCCAGCCAGGCCCAGATCCGTGGTACAGAAGTATCGGGGGTGGACAGAGCCCCCAACAGTGACACGTCGATTCGTGAATTGTCCGTTTTCGGTTCTCGAGAGGGCGCCGTGGCCGTTATTTTCCAGGCCTGCGCCCGCCAGGTGTGGGCCTCGGGTCGTTTTCACTAAGCCACGTTTTACTAAAGGGAGGTTTGTCTACCCCCGAAAGTAAGAACCCCCAAATGTGAGCATTTGTTGAGGAATCTGTTTGGGGAGTGGTCGGTTGATTATTCTTTTGCCTCCAGTCGGGCGCCCCCAGAGTGGAGCAGGTCCACCCTGTACGGGAATGAGCGTGGTGCGCCGGTGGGGGCGGGGGGTCGGGGGAAGAACCCACGCCCCTGACGGTTCCAGGAAGGTTCGGCGGACTACGAGCGGTGTTTCTTGTTGGCCCCGAGTGCGCGGTTCGATTTCCTGGCCGCGCGCACCAAGAATCACGGCCCAGGCGGCGTCAGCAGCGTCTTCCAGTCGAAGGGCCACCACACGGACTCGGAGGGCAGGGTCTGGCACCCGCGCGCCTGGGCCGAGAAGTGCGCGGCGGAGCAGCTCCAGAGGACGCCGAGGGGACCAATCGCAGCGCGAGCCTGTCTGCTTGCGACTGCTTCCCCTCGAGTTCTCCTCGTCTTCCTCCTCTGCCTCTTGCTCCTCCTCCTCCTCCTCCTCCTCGTTTTCCTCCTCCTCCTCCTCCTCCTCGTCTTCCTCCTCCTCCTCCTCCTCCTCCTCCTCTTCCTCCTCCTCCTCCTCCTCCTCCTCCTCCTCCTCCTCCTTGTCCCTTTCCTGCTGCTCCCTGTCTGTCTCCCTTTTCCGCCTTGCCCCCCCCTCCCCCCCCGCCTTGCCCCGCCGGCAGCGGCCCCCCCCGCCTGCTCCTTCGTCGTCGCCTGCCCGCTTCTCCCCTCCGCTCCCCCTGCCGCCCCCGGCAGCACGGCCTGCCCCGAGCGGGCGCCGCGAAACGGCGTGTTTTTTTGTCCCGCAAGGGCCGCCGGCCGAAGGTTGGCAACGCCTGCTGGCTGAGCCGGGTGGTTCTCGTCTTTGTGCCGTCGGGCGCCTTGAGACGGGGGTCGGTACAGACGGGGGTCAGCCAGAGCGCCGGATCCTGCAGCATCCTGCGAAGACCCCCTCTGGCTGACCCGGGTTAGCGAACCGCTCGTGGCCGCGAGGCGGCTGCGCATATTGGCTGACCAGGTTTGCGAAGACCTACGGTGCAGTTTTTTGTTTTCCTGCATTGCAGTTTTTGGTTTCCTGCTGACCTGGGTCTGGACTGACCCGGGTCAGAATATCCCCGATGCCGCATCCCCCTGGAGCTTGCAAGGGCGAGGTATTTCGAGGACCAGCCAAGACATGCTTGCGACGTGAACCGACATCACGACCGAGGGTTTTGAGCCCGTTTTGACCCTCGGGGGCCTTCGCCGGGACCCGGGAATGTCAAATTCGGCTCGGGATGAATAGCCGACCTTGGGGCCGCATTGGAAACAATCACAAGACAGTTCGCCGCTTGGGTCCCGCCGCCAGCCCAAACAGCGAGCATAAACCTGGCGTAGCCCCGCGCGCATTATTCCCCCCCGTCCCCCTCCTCATCCTTATCGTCGTCGTCGTCCTTCTCCCCGTCCTCCTCATCCTCCTCGTCTTACTCGTCGCCCTCCTGCCCCAGCTCGGTTTTCTATCGGTTGCGCCATAGGTTGCGCCTCGGCAGCTAAGAAACAAATCGTGTCATCGGTTGTGCCATAGGTTGCTCTGTCGGCAGCTGAGAATGAAACCGTCTCCTATCGGTTGCGCCATAGGTTGCGCCCTCGGCGGCCGAGAATAAAACCGTCTCCTATCGGTTGCGCCATGGGTTGCGCCCTCGGCGGCCGAGAATAAAACCGTCTCCTATTGATTGCGCCATAGGTTGCGCCCTCGGCTGCCGATAATAAAACCGTCGCGTAACGGGCGCGACCAGTCAGTTCAGTTCAGTTCAGCTCAGTTCAGTTCAGTTCACTTCAAGTTGCCTCGCGAGAAACATCGAATCGAATATCTGGAATATCTGGAACATCGAATATCTGGAAACGGGGGGGAGTTAGGTAAGATTCCACGAGCCACCCGGAGGATAAATAAAGCGCCTTACGGCCCAGCGTTCAATTCGAATTCCCAATGGGCATCAGGGTTTTTAAAAGTCTGGAGATATGTTGCGTGCTTATATCGGGCGGGTTTGGCGCCGAAGAGAGCCTTTTTTTGGGGGGGGGGCGGCGGTCTTGCGACCTCTGGGGGCTCATGCCGTCCGGCGCAACGAACGAGACATAATTCATGTCGCGCTGTCCAGAGTTCTCGGCCGCTTTCCAAACTTGAAGCAACACATCGAGGTGCGTGGGCGGGAAGGCATTCAGCCAATAACCCAGCGCATCCGTCAACCTTGAAGGGGCCGCCCAAAACAAGGGTACCCGATGCGCCTTTCAATATTGAAGGGGCCGCCCTACGATGTTACATTGCCAACAGCCGCTCGGCTGCGACGCGTCAGTTGCGACGATGCTGCAAGGGAGGGGAGCCTTCGGAGCACGCCCAGTCACCTTGGTCAGGGGTCGTTGTCGCCAGACCAGCGGCCCAGCTTCTGAAACCCGCTAGTGGTATTCGCTGGTTTGCCTCCTCGCCCTCCCCCGTCGAGGTCTGCGTCCGGAGATTTGTCACACGGCCACGGTTAGCTTTCCCAGAGGCTTTGTGGAGTTTGCCCGAAAACATGCACGATAACTCGAAGCGCATCGACCTGAACCGAAAAATGTTCGGAGTGGGGACATCCGATTGGAGCCACCTCGAAGCGAAGAACGCGCCCAGCGACCCACAACATTCGTTGCGTGCTTCGGGCTTGGATTGTGCGTTCAGCTAGTCGCTGGTGCGATCCAAGCGTTTGATGAGTGATCTCATCTTGCACAGGTGATATGTTTTTTCTATGTATATCTGTGCAATCCTAGCTGACATCATGCATCGATTGGACTGAGAGGGTATCTGGGCTCGAGGCGGTCTTGAGGGGTTTGGCGCCTGAAGCTTGCTAAGGGCCGTCTTCTGGGGCGGGGGGGGGCACCTTGGAGCATCCCCTGGAGCTCGTCATTGGCACGCAGGGCCCCCCCAGAGCGTTTGAGAAGCATGCGGGCCACCCAGGCCCGTCGAAGAGAAACGAATGGAACTTGTCCAGAGAGTGGCAGCATCCGACGGCATGTGCAGGTCGCCAAAAAGCTGAGGTGAAATGGTGAATCCAACCAGCGTGGCTGAGCAAGTCCATGGGCAGCCTAGATCGGCCTTTGCGGATCTCAGTATTGTGGGGTCCCCAATCCATTTCGCGTGTGGTAAGGTCAAACGGCGTAGGCGGTTACGTGCCCAGGATTATGTGGGATGTGAAGGCGGTGGACCTATCTTGCTCCAGTCAGGGGGTTTTGCCCACTGGTCTCCCTGAATTCGGGGGCGTATCGGTTCCGATCTTGCAATTTTCTGGGTGGTTAATTTGGTGGCCGTCTGAGGTATATCGGGCCTCTCCAGGTGCCCGCCCATCGGAGGGAGGGCGTCAAGGTACACCCCCCAGACGGGTCGTGAGGAGCGTCCGTGGAACCCGGGGGGGGAGGATCAGAGCTCTTTGCAGAGCCCACGTTGTCCTGGAAGGGTTGGGGGGCAACAGCAGGAGTCAGGGTACGCGGTGCATCGCTCTCAGTGCCGTTGGCGGCCCACGGCTCCCAGATGACAGCCCAACAGCACCCCCTCGAGCCTTCGGCGGACCCATTGTGCAAGCTCCACGGCCCACTCGTGCCCGATGTGCATTCAACGGCCGCCCCTCGACAGGACCTTCCCCGAGCATGGTATCACCTATCCCAGAGGCCTGCGCCGTTCCGCCGGACTCCATCGTGGGTGATCCTGGGAGGGTGGAACTGAGCAAGGGGCTCACTGCCCATAGAGGGACAGGTCAAGGGGGAGAGAGAGGAAAGATGGGGTGGGCCGCCCAACCCAGAGGACGTTTTTGCCAGACCTGCTACGGGATTCCATACCCCGCAGCAGGTCCCCGACCACCCGCCAACAAGTCAGCCGAGCTCTCTCTCTCTCTCTCTCTCGCTCTCTCTCTCTCTGTCTCTCTCTCTCTCTCTCTCTCTCTCTCTCTCTGCGGATGAAAAAACCTGGGCCCCGCGCTCGCCTGGACGCGGTATCGGCGCTTGCCTGCACAGCCCTCGTTCCCAGGGCCTCGGCCTGCGCAAGGCTCTCGAGTCCGAAGGCCTGAAAATGAGCAGGGGGGGAAGGAGGAGGAGGAGGAGCAGGAGGAGGAGGAGGAGGAGGAGGAGGAGGAGGAGGAGGAGGAGCAGGAGGAGGAGGAGGAGGAAGAGGTGGAGAAGGAGGAGGGGGGGGAGGATGAGGAGGAGGAGGAGGAGGAGGAGGAGGAGGAGGAGGAGGAGGAGGAGGAGGAGGAGGAGGAGTTGGCACACCGTCTCATAACCAGTTTGTTTTCTGTGTTGGGGGGTGTTTCGGTCTGTCTTGCTGCCGTCGTGTGGCGTCTTGGGGCCTGGTTGGGCCCTGTCTGTCGGGGCTAGGTTCTTTTTGGGTACTCGTTGGCGTCCCTTCTGGGGGGGGGGCAGGCCTGGGTGCGAGTATCTCAGGGCCGTCTGGGTTGGGGCGTCGAGGGGCGGCAGCCTCGGAGCGGCCGCGGGCCCGGCTCAGAGAGCCGTGTTGGGGCAGGCTTTGGTGCGAGCTGGGGGGCCGGGGTCCTGTGGGACCTGCACCGGGTGCCGTTTGAGGGCCTCCTTGAGGGGCCTCGTGGAGCCCTGCGGGGGCCTCTGGGGCCCATCACGAACCCGCAAAGTTGGGAACGCACAGCCCCAACAAAAAATACCAGGGGGTTCGGACTACTCGTGCCTTGCGTGGTGGGGCGGGGGGGCGTCCGCGAGGTCGCCTTTGTGCTCGTGTGGGGTTCCACACGGCGAGCAGCGTGTAGGCCATCATGGTCCATGTTGGGCAGTTTTGGCCGGACTGGGGACTCTGGGCCTCGCGATCACTGCGGGCAGATTCCAAGAGGCCAGACTGCGCCTTGAGGAGCTCGTGGGAGCCCCTCCCCCACCCAGCCCTCCTCAAAACAAGATCTGATTTGGGGAATCACCGCGCGCGCCACTTCGCCCCTGGCAAACGGGGGATTGGCGGGCTCCCCGAAGAAGGCCGAGTCCAAGCTGCTGCCCGGGATGAAACACGAATCCTTGTATCATGCGCCAGGAGGCAGATTTAGAGTTGGCCGACGAGCAGACAAGCTACCAGCAGACACGCTATCTTGTTGGCATGGAATCCGGCGACTAGCAGGTTTGGCGGACGATGTGAAGGACTTCGCGCCGCCAGCGCCCGTGAACGACGTGGATGACATCGACCGCATCGTGCTGAAGAACACGAAGTGGACTGTGCCGCAGCTGAGGGAGCTCTGCAAAGAACGGGGGTGTCAGAGCTCAGGATCCAAGGGGGATCTCATTGAGCGGCTTACGCACACGTTCTTACTAGCGGAGAGGAAAGAGCGCGAAATAGCAGAGAGGAGACTTCAAGATGCTGTAGACGAGCTTCGAGCTGAAAGAGAACGGCGACAACTAGCGGAGGCCAACCAGAAGGCCGGTCTTCCAAGGAACTTTCGAACCGCCGTATGAGGCCCAACGTGATGAAACTAATTTTGGCCAACCGAATGTAGTCAATATAGTGGCGCCGCATCAACCCACCAGCCCATCCAGGAACACTTCCCCGCCATTTGCTGTGAGAAGGGAATGTGGGCGCCATTTTTCCCCAAGAAGGCTTTGCCGAGGGCTTCCCAATCTCCGTGCAACACGCGCTTGTGTGACTGGGCCGGTTCCGGAAGGTTCTCCGATCATGCCTGGGGGGCACATCGCGCAATCATCAAAGCAAAGAAAATAACAACTAAATGATTGGTTCGGTCTGATTGTTTTATGCTAGCATGATGTATATTATTGCTTCCAGCTGCCATTGTTGAATTGTTTCGCGTTGTATTGAGTGTCGCTTTGCATTGCTTCGCGGTGTTCAGACATCTTGAGCACGCAGAGCGGGAGTCACGTCGGGCCCCCAGAGGGAAGCCTGCGCGCATATGTTTTTTTTGCGTGTATTTGCGCCCCTTGGGGGATTCGGCTGTCTTGGAGGCCAGCTAAGGGCCCCGTGGGGTCCCTGAACCACGACGCGCGTGGGGGTGTGCCGACTTGGCGTTCCAATGGGACGTCTCGGGGGCCAGCTGCGCGCCCGGCGTTCACGAAGTGCGCGTGGGGTGTGCCGACATGGGGTTCCCATCGACATGGCAGGGCAATGCGCTAGTATTTTGCCGTCCTCAATTTGCTTTGAGGCGCAAATCATTGGAAGTATCCCGTGCCCCAGGAAGCTGTTGTGACCGCGGTTTTTACCTAACAGCGAAGACTGATAGGTTTCTAATTGGGTCAAAAGAGAGCATCTGATGACTCCCCAGGGGGGTCTGGGCGGGAGCCGGATAGGCGAGGGCCGGGCTCGTTTTATGCAAACAGTCGCACACTTCGTGCTCTTCGACCTCCCAGAACTCCATTCCCGGGCCGCATTTTGAATGCCCGGAGCCAACCGTAGGCCACTTCGTGCTCTTCGACTTCCCAGAACTCCATTCCCGGGCCACATTTTGGATGCCCGGAGCCAACTGTGGGCCACTTCGTGCTCGTCGACTTCCCAGAACTCCACTCCCGGGCCACATTTTGGATGCCCGGAGCCAGCCGTAGGCCACTTCGTGCTCTTGGACTTCCCAGAACATTATTCCCGGGCCACATTTTGAATGCCCGGAGCCCACTGTAGGCCACTTCGTGTTCTTCCATTTTGCCAGTGTTTCTACTGCTACTACCACTGTTCCCATCACTCCTACTCGTTCATTCCACACTACAACTACTACTTCACTGTTACCACTACTACCATCACTACTACTTCTACTGCTACTACTACTACTACTACTGTTATTATTACCGCTGCTGCTGCTGCTGCTGCTGCTGTTGCTGCTGCTAGTGTAGCTATTGCTACTGCAACTACTGGCAGTGCCACTGCGACTGCCGCTGATGTTGCCACTGCGACTGCCACTGCGAATCCGAATGCGACTGCGAGAACACCAGAATTCTACAACAGCACTCTTACATGAATACCACAGGCAATGTTTCCAGCTATGCTTCTACACGTCGCTGTTAGGTTGCTTTGTCGGGATAATTTTGCACGTGCCGATATGAGAGCATCAGCAACGAAGGTTGAGGGATCCACTTCCGAAGCGCCATCGAAACATCATCGGCCAGCGGAATGCGCGGAACCGCTCTCAGCGCGGCAGGCGAACACCGCAAATTAGCGTTTAGATTGGGACGTGATCCAAACATTGACAGGGTGATGGGGTTGTTTCGAATGGAATTATAGGTGGGCGTGACGCTCCAGCTCGAGACCCTATTCAATAGTGGAGATGTTGAGCTCGGGCGCGGAATCGCTCGAAGACTTGCCGTTTCGCTTGGAATACCCTCGAGCATAATGCGTTTACAGAAGACGCTTCGTCGTTAACAGGGAAGCTCTCGTTCTATGCATTCTCGGACAAGTGCAGATGTCGGGGCCGCGTTTGTCCATGTCGCACCCCAAACATGAGGCTCGCATGGGAAACATCATCGAACGATCGGCTTCGGAATGGGTCCTTGGCATTTGGCACGCAATTACATGTATAAAAGGGTTGGTCTGGGACGCTTTGCGTTTATGACGGCAACCGCCCTTTTCGTTATCATCCTCATTCGCATCATCATCATCATCACCACCATCGTTCGTGCCAAAATCGACGTCACCGGCATCATCGTCATTTTCGTCACGTCGTCGCGTTTGCTTGTAAACGCACGCGCGCGGTGCAACACATTACACACTCAACGCGCGCGGCACACAATACGCCCCCAACGTGCGAGTGCACATATACATACATACATACATTACACAATCCAGACCCACACATCTCACACAACACATTCAGCGCACGTGCGCCGCGCGCCCCTCCCCTTCCCGCCCGCCAGGCACACGCACACGCACACGCACACACACAGAAACACACACACACACACGCACACGCACACGCACACGCACACGCACACGCACACGCACACACGCACACACGCACACACGCACACACGCACACACGCACACACGCACACCCGCACACACCCGCACACACACGCACACACGCACACACGCACACACGCACACACGCACACACGCACACATGCACACACGCACACACGCACACACGCACACACGCACATGCACACACGCACAAACGCACACACGCACACACGCACGCACCCACGCACACACGCACACACGCACACACGCACGCACGCACACACGCACACACGCACACACGCACACACGCACACACGAGCACACGCACACACGCACACACGCACACACGCACACACGCACACACGTACACACGCGCACGCGCACGCACACGCACATGCACACGCACACATACACATACACGCACACGCACACGCACACGCACACGCACACGCACACGCACACGCACACACACACACACACACGCACGCACACACACACACACACACACGCACACACACACACACACACACGACCGTAGCCATTTTGGCTCAAGCCTGCCTTGGGCGCCAGGGCGCCAGGGCGGGCGAAGAGCGCGGTTTGCCTCCACCTTCGTAGGAGAGAGCGGCCCTGTCTCTTTCCCCTTTGGTGCGGCCCCCGCGGTGGCGGCGGGCGTCGAGGCGATGGCCGTCCAGGGCGCTGCTCAGGGCGCTGCGGCGGGCGGCGCGTCGCGGCAGGCGGTCGCGGCCGCCGTGGTTGCGGCGCTACGCACGGCGTGGGCGCTGCTGGCAGGCGCCGGCTCCGAGGAGGACGCCGAGCTTGCGCTGTGCAGCCCGCCATGTGCCAGCAGGTGCGCGGCGCCCCGCCATGCGGCGGAGCTCGCGCCAGGCGCAACGTCGGGGCGCACGTCGACTTCGGCAAGGGCGTCGAGGCCCTGCGGCAGGCTTTGGCGCGGCCGCAGCACGCCCAGCGTGGCGGGCGCTGCGGGCCTCGTAAGAAGCAGGCGGCGTCCCAGGACCACATTGTGGACGACCCCGAGGCACGCGAGGACGCGGGAAAGGAGGAGCACCAGTGCCCCTTCGAGGAGGACGCGGTGCTGGGCGAGTTCCCGTGTTCCCTGCAGCCCAGCGCTGCGGCTGGCCACGCCGACGGCGTCCAGATGGACGGCGACACCAGCCTGGGCATCGGGGAGCCAGTCGTGGACGAGCGCAAGGGCACCAGACAGGTCGTCGGCACCCCCGAGGGCCAGGTGAACGACAAGGAGGGCGCGACGGAGGTGGGCGGGCACCCCTTCGACGTCGTGCGCCCCCCGAGGGCAGCAACCAGGTCATCTCGCAGGCGGGCGCGGCCATGCGCGTCGGTTGCTTAGACGTGCGCGGCGCCGAGATGAAGGCGACCGGCGGCCCAGTCGAGGTGGCCCCCCTCTCCGAGGACGTGGTGCGCGGCCAGACCGCCACCGAGACGGAGGTCGTGCGAGGCCGCCGCGGAGCGCCGCCGAGGGCGGCGAGCGTGTGCGTGGCAGCCCGTGGCAAGGGCGCAGCTGCGCCTCGTACGGGGGCCCGTGCCAGCAGCGCAGACTGGCACCTCGTGCGCCCGCGGTGGCGACCCTCCCGAGGGTGACGCTTCGACCTCGCGCAGCAGGCGGTGCGGCTCACCGAGCCCGTGGTGCCGCCGCCTCTCGCCTCGGGTCCTCGCTGGTGGAAGCAGGACGTCGGCGAGGTCAGCGCGAAGGTGCACGAGGACCCCGTGATGCAGGGCCGCTTCAGCAGCACGGACGTGGACGAGGAGGTCCACGGCCGCCTCGGCGGCGGCGGCTCCCAAGGGCAGGTCGGCGACGTGGAACCCGCCGCCCAGCCCCTCCCGCCCTCCACCCGGCGGCACAGGGGAGTGAGGAGGCGGCGGGCGACGACTTCGCCTGCCCTTCGATCCTCGCCCAAATGGACAGGTCGATCGAGGCCCAGCGGCGGATCAAGGCCAGCCACATGGATGAGCTGGCCAAGATGCCGGCCCTCCGGGCGCAGGAGCTGACCGTGGCGCTGCGCTGCGGAGCGGCGGGCGCCGCTGACGACGCCAAGGCGCACCTGAGGGCGGCCGTGGACCAGCGTCATCAGGCCGCGGCCCGGTTCGACGGCAAGATAACCCTCTTCGAGCAGCGGCGCGAGGCCCTGCAGCGAGCCGTGTTGGGTTCTGCAGCGAGAGTGCCGGCTGCGCGGGTGGCCTCATGAGGCGGCCAGGAGGCGTGCGAGGCCGTTGTGCCCGCGGTGCGCCTCTTATGGGCACCCTGCGGTAGGTTTGCTGCCCCCTTGGCGCGGTTTCCGCCGGGCGGTCCGTCCCTTGGGGCGCCTGGGCCCGCATTCGCCGTTGGCGGCGCCTGGGCTCGGCGGAGCAGCCTCGCATTTTTACGCCCCCCGTCGGCACTGTCCTGCTTAGGGGCCTGGGGTCCCCAGTGGGCCCTGGATCCGCCACCCTGGGGTGCTGTGGGGGGGCGCGTCCCCTGGCACGGCGGGCGGGGCGGTTCTGCGGCCCTCCGTCGTGGCTCAGAAGGCCTGGCGGCCCGAGAGCGTAGCGCAAGGCCCGCGGGCCCGAAGGCTGCGGCGAGGCGCGAACGCCCCGCAGTGTCCGATCACCAGAACCACCAGAATCACCAGGATCACCACAAACGCACATACGCACACGCACACACGCACACACGCACGCAAACAACACCGCACTCGGCACCGCGCGCTCGCCCCCGCCCGCCCGCCAGGCACGCGCGCCGCGTGCCGCCCCCGCCCGCCCGATCCGCGCACGCCCCACGCGCGCGCCGTGCAACCCCCGTCCCGCCCCCTAGGCGCACGCCGTGCACAAACGCGCGCGCTCTCACGCAGCTGCGCGCATAGGCAGGCACGCGCACGCGCACGCGCGCACACGCGTGGGGCGCAGACTCCCGCGCGATGGCTCGAGAGCCAACTTTCGGGCGACGCAGCGCCGCGAGCCTGCGTTGCCATAGATTGGTGCGACGACTGGCACCCCTGGAATTGCAGCACCGACGGCATCGAAAGCACACGCGCGCACGCACAAACGCACGCACACACATGCACACGCGCACGCACGCACATTCACACACGCAACACACAGAGACACACATAGACACACACGCAGACACACACAGACACACAGAGATACAAAGTGACACATACACACACAGACAAACATACACACACACACGCACACACACGCACGCACGCACGCACGCGCTCTCCCTCTTTCTCCCTCACCCACAAGCACGCACACACACACACACACACGCACGCACGCGCACGCACGCACGCACGCACGCGCACGCACTCACGCACGCACGCACGCGCTCTCCCTCTCTCTCTCTCTCGCCCACAAGCACGCACACACACACACACACACACACACACACGCACGCACGCACGCACGCACGCACACACGCACGCACGCACGCACGCACGCACGCACGCGCACGCACGCACGCACGCACGCACGCACGCACGCACGCACGCACGCACGCACGCACGCACGCACGCACGCACGCACGCACGCACGCACGCACGCACGCATGCACACGCACACACACATTCTTTTTTTCTCTCTCTCTCTCTCTCTCTCTCTTTCTCTCTCACACGCACACACATACACACACACACGCTCACACGCACACACACGCACACACACACACACCGTACAGGCACTCCCGCCGCCCGCGAGGCACACACCCCGCACGCCGTACCCTACCCCCTCTGCTCCTTCGGCGCGCCCCCTGCGCAGAAGCGTGCGCACTCGCAAAGTTGGCTTCACACGGTCACGCAAGCATTCGCGCGGGGGCGCGGCTTCCAGCGCGGCGTCTCGAGAAACAGCTCGTGGGCGCCGCAGCGCCGGGAGCATGCGTTGCCAGAGGCTGGTGCGGCGACTGGCGACCCATACCCCGTAGTTTTGAAAGTATCGAACACACGCACACGCGAATGCACACATACGCAAACTTAGCCACAAGTGCACAACATAACCCGCAGCATTTGAGCAACACATCCGCAGACGACCACTAACCATAAGCCAAGCTAGCAATGGCAACCATCTGGTCATCGAGGAACGCCCAGCGACTGCACCCCATTTGCACGCATGCGTGTCGGGTGCTGGTACATGCGCGCGTGCACACGCACGCTCAAGGAAACGGCGCTTCCCGTTTCTTGTCCGGATTGTGTCATCGTCGCACGTATATGCACATACACCCACATGAATAATTGCATTTGCATGTATAAATTCATTGATATATATATATATATATATATATATATGTGTATATAGGTGTGTAGATGTGTGTTTGGTTAGTTGTGTGTGTGTGTTTGCTTGTGTTTTTTTGTTTGATGGCGTTGTATTGCATGTACGTTTGTGTGTATGTATGTATGCATGCATGTTTGCATGTATGTGCGCCTCGATGTACGCATGCATGTGTCACTCGATGTGTGTATGCATATGTAGGTATGTATATATACATATATATATATATATATATATACAAGTATGTATAAACATGTTTACATATAAACTGTGTTTGTATATATATATATATATATATTGCAGGCTGGGGGGTGAGATCGAAGTGGAACGGAGAGCCCCCCTACCGGGAAATCGATTTCGGTTTCGTGTTCGTGCGTGCCGTGCGGGCGAGGCGAAGCTGCGTGGGCGGGCGAGAGAAAGTCTCCTGTGGCTGAGGCGCGGCCGGACCCAATGATTCCCTTCCGGGCGGCCGGGGCCCCGCGGTGTCCCGCCGGTGTCCCGCTGGTGTCCCGTGTGGCTGAGGCGCGGCCGGACCAAATGATTCCCTTCCGGGCGGCCGGGGCCCCGCGGTGTCCCGCCGGTGTCCCGCGGTGTCCCGCGGTGTCCCGCGGTGTCCCTCAGAGTCCCGCTGTGTCCCGCCGGTGTCCCGCGGTGTCCCGCGAGGATGATGATGATGATGATGATGATGATGATGATGATGATGATGATGATGATGATGAGATGATGGTGATGATGATGACGATGATGATGATGAGATGATGGTGGTGTCCCGATGAAGACGATGATGTTGATGATGGTGTCGATGATGATGCTAGTGTCCCGATGATGAGGATGATGATGCTCATGATGATTATGTTGATGATGACGATGATGGTGTCCCGATGATGATGATGATGGTGATGATTCCGATGATGTTGGTGATGATGATGTTGATGGAATTGGTGTCCCGGCGATAATGATGTTGATGTTGATGTTGATGATGATTATGGTGTCCCGATGACGATGCTGATGATGATGGTGATGATGATTATGGTGTCCCGATGACGATGCTGATGATGATGGTGATGATGATGGTGATGCTGATGGTGTCTCGATGATGATAACAATGATAACGACGATGTTGATGATGATGTTGCTCATGATGATGATGGTGCCCCAATGATGATGATGTTGTTGATGATGATGCGATGATCATGATGATGATGGTGTCCCGAGGATGATGACGATGTTGATGATAATGTTGATGATGAGAACGATGGTGATCATGATGCTGTCCCGATTATGATGATGATTCTGATGATGTTGCTGATGATGATGATGACGATGACTGTGCCCCGATGGTGATACTGATGTTGATGATGAAATGATGATGGTGATGGTGATGATGATGTTGTCCCGATGATGGTGCTGACGTTGATGATGGTGTTTATGATGATGATGATGACTGTGCCCTCATGATGATGGCGATGTTGGTGATGATGTTGATGTTGATGATGTTGTTGATGATGATGATGTTGACGTTGATTGCGAAAGCGATTGTGATATCGATAGTGAGATCGATATTGAGACCGAATGTGAGATCGATTGTGTGATCGATTGTAAGATCGATTGTGCGATCAATTGTGAGATCGATCGAATGAGATAGATCGAGTGAGATCGATCAAGTGAGATCGATCGAGCGAGACCGATAGTGAGATCGATAGTGAGATCGATAGTGAGACCGATTGAGTGAGACGTTGGTTCCTCCCCCGAACCTCCTTATCCCCCGAAGGGTGGTCGTATAGGTGTATATATATATATATATGTATATGTACGTATATATATATATATATTATATATATATATATATATATATATTATATTTACACACACGTATCGATGGCGCCTGCGGCGAATCACCGTTGCTCCCTGCCTTTTGGATTCGCCCTTGTGGCCGAGTCCGCCACGCTATCGGACTGCGTGCTCCCCCAACCGTTGTTGACACCCTTCGGGGGACATTTGGGGGAGGATGGCGGGGAAGACCAGGAGGAGGAGGAGGGGAAGGAGGAGGAGGAGGGGGAGGGGGGCATCTTGGGAGCCTTTGGGGGCTCTCTTGGGGCCTCACGGGGGCTTCCTGGAAACCCCTTGGAAGCATGTTGGTGGCCTTCTTGGGCCTTTGTGATGCCTTTGGCGGCTTCTGGTGGGCCTCTTTGGCAGTCCTAGGGCATTTCTGGCCCGTGTGGCGTCGTCGGACGCCGTCTTGGGGGCCTCTCTGGGCCAACTTGGGGCCCTCTTGGGGGTGCTCCAGGGCTGTCTTGGAGGCCATCTTGGGCGTCTTGTAGGCCTCTTGGGCCGTCTTGCGGCCCTCTTGGGGCCGTCTTGGGGGCTTCTTAGGCCGTTCTGGGACATTTCTTGGGGGCCTCTTGGGCGATCTTGGGGCGATCTTTGGGGGCTCTTGGGCCGTTTCGGGCAGTCGGGGGGGCCGACAGGGCGCAAATAGCAACAAAAGCCTTCAACCACCTAGGATCGTCAATGATTTCGGCCTGTTCCGGCCTTCCTGGATGCCCTTTTGGGAGCCTCTTGGGCCGTCCTGGGGGCCTTCTGGCGGTTTTCTTGGAGGCCTCTGGGGCCGTCTTGGAGACCTCTTCGGAGTTCCTTGGGCCGTCTTCGGCCATTTTTGGAGCCATCTAGGGCTGTTTTTGTGGTTCCTGGCTCGTCTGACACCGTCGGAAGCCGTCTTGGGGCCCTCTCTGGGCCGACTTGGGGCCCTCTTGGGCGTCTTGTAGGCTTCTTGGGCCGTTTGGGGGCCCTTCTCGGGCCGACTAGGAGGCCTCTTTGGTCGTTATGGTGCCATCTCGGAGGCCTCTTGAGCGATCTTGGGGCGATCTGTCGGGGCTCTTAAGCCGCCTCGGGCCGTCGGAAGGTCGAAACGACGCATCTGCCAAAATCCTTCAACAACCTAGGGAACGTCAATGATTTTGGCTTCTTTCGGCCTTCCTGGATATCTTCTGGGAGGCCACTGGGGCAGAGTCTTGGAGTCCCCTTCGGGTTTTCATGGGCAATCTTCGGCCATCTTGGAGGCATCTTGGGCCGTCTTGATGGGCGCCTGGCCCGTCTGACGCCGTCGGAAGCCATCTTGGGGGCCTCTCTGGGCCGACTTGGGGCCCTCTTGTGGTGTTCCAGGGCCGTTTGGGCGGCCATCTTGGGCGTCTTGCAGGCCTCTTGGTGCCCTCTTGGGAGCGTCTTGGAGGCCTCTTGGGCCGTTCTGGGTCATCCTGGGGGCCTCTTGGGCAATCTTGGGGCGATCTTTGGGGGCTCTTGGGCCGTCTCGGGCCGTCGGAAGGCCGACACTAAGCACATGCCACAATCCTTTAAACATATAAGGGGAAACAATGTTTTGGGCCTCTTCGGGCCTTCATAGAAGCACTCTTGGGAGCCTCTTGGGCCGTCTTGGGGGCCTCGTGGGGGCCTCTTGGGCCGTCTAGGGCCATCTTGAGGCCATCTCGGGCCGTCTTGGTGGCCTCTTGGGCGGACTTAGAGGCATCTCGGACCCTCTCGGTCCGTCTAGGAGGCCATCGCGGATCAGCTTGGGCGAACGTGAAGGCCATCTTGGTAGTGTTGGAAGCCGTTGAGGGCCATCTTGGTGGTATCTGGACCGGGGAAATGTTGGCAACCAGGTCTTCTGGGTGGCCAGCGGGACGCGCCGAAGCCCGATGGGAGAGGTCTTTTGGAAAAAGAACCAACACCAAACAGTAGGGTTCAGCACGTCAGGCACCAATGTGTCAAGCCCACGGGGCGACGGATCGAAGACGCCTACGGCGAATCACCGCCGCCCCCTACTTTGTTGAAATCTCCTGGGGGCCGCTTCGAGGCATCTTGGGGGCCTCCTTGGGCCTCTTGGGAGACTTTGGGGACTTCTCGGGGGCCTTAGCCGTCTTAGGGCTCTCGTGGCCCGCCTGACGCCGTCGGGATCCCTCTTGGGGTGCTCCAGGGCAGTCTTGGAGGCTGGGCGTATTGCAGGCCTCTTGGGCCGTCTTGGGGCCCTCCTCGGGCCGTCTAGGAGGCCTCTTGGGCTGTTCTGGGGCCATCTTGGAGGCCTCTTGAAGGCCGAAAAGAAGCATATGCCCAAATCCTACAACAACCTTGCGAACATCAATGATTATGGTCTCTTCGGGCCTTCCTGGAAGCCCTATTGGGAGCATATTGGGCCGTCTTGGGGACCTCTTGGAGGACTCTTTGGCTGTCTTGGGCCATCTTGGAGGCATCTTGGGCCGTCTTGGTGGGCCCCTGGCCCGTCCGACGCCGTCGGAAGCCGTCTTGGGGCCTCTCTGGGCCGACTTGGGGCGCTCGCTCCTGGGGTGCTCCAGAGCAGAGCCGTCTTGGAGGCGATCTTGGGCGTCCTGGTGGCCTCTTGGGCCGTCTTGGGGTCCTCCTTTTGGGGCTGTCTAGGAGGCCTCTTGGGGCGTTCTGGGGCCATCTTGGAGGCCTCTTGGGTGATCTTGGGGCGATATGTGTGGGCTCTTGGGCCGTCGAAAGGCCGAACAGAAGCACATGCCAAACTCCCTCAAAAACCGGTCATCAGTGATTTTGACTTCTTTGGGCCCTCCTGGAGGCCCTCTGGGAGGCCCTTTCGGCCGTCTTGGAGACCTCTTGGGGGCCTCTTGGGCCGTCTTGGGCCATCTTGGATCCACCTTGGGCCGTCTTGATGGCCTCCTGGCCACAACCTTTTAAACACCGACGAGAAATCAGTGAATTTGACGTCTTGGAGCTATCTTAGGGGGCCTCTTGGAGACCTTCTGGGGCGTCATGGATGCTTATTGGGTCGTCTGGAGGCCATATTGTGCGTCTCGGTGCGATCGTTGGGCGTCTCAGGGCCCTCGTGGGCTGTCGTGAGGGCCTGTTGAGGCTCTCTTGGCCCGTCTTGTGGCCCTCTTTGGGTGCGAAAAAAGGTCGCGCGACAAGACGCGGGAAGCCCCCGACATGACGCGGGAAGCCCTGGCAGATTCGAGAGTATGGGGCGGGGCCCTTACGGGACCCGTTAGGAGCGAGGATTGATGTTGGGAGGGCTAGGGATCGGACCTGCGGGCACGCCCACTTCGTGCCCAAGGGCACGGTGGCGGATCTGTACACACGCATCTACAAATGCACATCGGGCTCGTTGGACACATAGGTCGCGAGTCCGATCCGACGCCGATCGCAAACTGAAAGTTTCCCCCCCTCCCGCGTCGTCGTTCTATCACCCGAGGGGTGGCCTCACAGGCAGTGCGCACTGGACCGCTGCGTGCTTCTTTGCATGACGCCCCCAGAGGCGGCCGAGGAGCGCGAGCGCGCCGCCAGGGAGGCGGGGGCGGAGGCGCTGCAGGCTGCTGCGGCGCCGGGGGAGGGGGGGGGGGGACACGAGGGTGAGGGATGGGCTCGGGGGGAGGAGCGTTCTGGGCCTTCGAGGTTCGATGGGTGCTCGGGCGCTTTCGCTCGAGGCTCGAGGTTTCCAGGCTCGAGGTTCCAGGCTCGCCGTGAAGCAGACCCAGACCCAGACGGGAGGGAGGGACACTAGGGTGAGGGATGGGCTCGGGGTGGAGGAGCGTCCTGGGCCCTCGAGGTTCGATGGGTGCTCGGGCGCTTTCGTGCGAGGCTCGAGGCGTTTCCAGGCTCGAGGCTCCCCAGGCTCGCCGTGAAGCAGGCCCCGACCTCAGATCTCGTCTGCTCAATCCTGGCCTTTGTTCCCCGAGTTCAGCCTGCGGTGCCCGCTGTCGGGCTCGCGCGACTGCGGGAGAGGTTACTGTACGCGAGGCGGAGGGCGGAGTCACATGCCAAGGCTCTGACATGGTTTCCGCTGCGCCCGCCGGCGTCGTCCCGATCCCCGTCCCCTCCCGTGCCCAAGAGCATGGAGGCAGGAAAGGGGTGTGGCATCAAGGGGTGTGGTGCCAATCGTGTAAATCGAGATGCGATCTACGATAGATGACATCGCCAGGCTCTGCATTGGTGCCACACACCCGTTCATGCCACATCCCTTCCCGACCTCCAGAAAGAGGTGCGAGAGGGGTGGATTGGGTGTGGGGTCGACGAGACTCCGTCTGGGCCGAGGGACGGGGGAGGAGCGGAGGGGGGACAGCGACGGAGGACGGAAGACTACAGGTGAGCCCCAGGCGATGGGACCCAAGGGGGGCGGGGAAGATGACCCCAGACGTTTCCGACGCCGTTCAGTTTTTCACGGCGTGCACCTCTGGTCTAGCCTGTCGCCCCGATTCGTTGTGACTGTTCCAGGGCTCAATGGCTTCCCTGGGCCAAAATCGGCGACGCGTAAGAGTGACCCTTCGCCGGAGCGCCTTTTTTAGTGCGGACCCACCATGGCCCACCCGCCGCGGCTACCCTAATCTGCGCAGCAAAGGTTACTCTCGCTTTCTCCTGGTGCAACCTTTGCGTGTATCCGATGATCCAAAAACTTGACAACACCGCCCGCCGCGAGATTTTTTCGCCCCACGCTGGAGACCAGGGACGTCGCTCGATGCAAGCGGTTGGTGCACAAGGAGGAGGAAGAGGAGGAGGAGGAGGTGGAGAAGGAGGTGGAGGAGGAGGAGGAGGAGGAGGAGGAGGAGGAGGAGAAGGAGGAGGAGGAGGAGGAGGAGGAGTAGGATGGCGGTTCGGTCCGATCGGCCGCGTCGCAGCCGTGCGCGTTTGATCGGTCCAGTTCGATCGGCTGTCGTATCGTTGGCTGTGCCGCTGCGGCCCTCTGGGCCGCCTCTGCGGCCCGTCGGCTTCGGTCGGTTTCGGCTCCGTGGTCGGCTCGATCGGTTTCCGGCCGCGCCGCCGCCCTGGGCATCCGCCGATGGACTTTTGTTCCATCCGCGGCCCTAGAGATGAAGGGGCCCTGGGACACACAAATAAATACACAAGTAAAAGGATTCCCCATATTTTCCCATATGTTCTGGCTTCTTGTCTCCCCCCCCACTTCCCATATTTTCCTATATTTTCTGGGAAATCGACGACTAATTTGTCTGTGTGTTTCTTTTCCTCCTGAAGAGAGTCGCCCGACCCCTTCCCTATAGGGCCAGTTTTGCGCGCCTTGGTCCACGTCTGATGGCCCTCGGGGGCCCCCACGGCGGGCCCCTGAGGGCCGGAGCTCGAGGAACAGCGCCCCGACTGCTGGAAGAGTCCGAGCCTTGTCGGGGCCTCAGAGACGGGGCTCCAGGGGTCACCCTGCAGAGCCAGAGTCGCATGGACCTGCGCCTATAGGCTCAGGAGCCTGCAGGATCCTGCAGGATCCTGCAAGGCCTGACTGACCGGGGTCTGGATATGATCCAGGTCAGTAGATCCCCAATTTTGGAGTTCTGGGGTTGTCGGTTCGGTCGGCTTCTGGCCGTGCCGCCGCCGCGGGCGGCGCCCTGGTACATGGGCACGTAGGGTCAAGTCGGGCATGTCCCTCCACAGGAGGAATAACGTATAGGGACGATGCTGCTTGCTTGTTTGACTCCTTTTTTGCTGTTTTGGTTATTTGCTATTTGTCTTACTACATCCGCTTGTAGAAGGACATGATGCCCGACCTAAGCGTGAGGTGAGGTAGCCCGAGGTGGGGCCAGGGAGCGAACCCATATTGAGGCTGGTACACACACACACAACACACACACCAACAACAACAACAACAACAACAACAACAACAACAACAACAACAACAACAACAACAACAACCACAACAACCACAACAACCACAACAACCACAACAACAACAACAACACACACACACAACACACACACGCACACACACATATACATGTGTGTGTATACACATTCTTTTCCGAGGGCGATTTTCCTCCAACCCCACCTCTGGGCCCCCTTTCCCCGCCCTCGCCGTAGATGGGCGAACGGCGATGTAGGCAACGACGATGTAGCTTTCGGTATTGTGGGAACGCGTGGCTCGCGCTGCCCTCCAGCTCGCCGTGTCGTGCTCGTTCGGCCCACGCGCAGATACGCCGCGTCGGGCACGGCGGCTCGTGACTTCCTGCAGCATGGGGCAAGCCTCGCCGTTCGCCCGGCCTTGGCCTTACGCCGCTTCGGTCGGCTCTGGGCCCGCCCCGCCCGCCCGCCCCCCCTCGAGCGGTGCACCCCGCGGGGCGCCGGCCGCCCCGCAGGCCTCGGAGGAGAGGGCGCGGCTGGCCAGGCTCCGGGCGGCCGAGGACCGCACGGCGGCGGAGGCGCGGCGGCGGGGCCCCCCGAGGACCGAAGCGTCGAGGAACAACCGCTTCGAGGATTTGTTTACTAGGTTTCTGTTTTGTTGTGGGGCGCTCCACACATATACACACACATATATATATATGTATATATACACATATATACAGATACATATACATATACATATACATATACATATATATATGAATATATGTATGTATGTATGCGCATATCTATATATATATATATACTTTTACACATATACATACATCCTTACATCCATACGTACATGCATGCATGCAGGGGATTTGGGGAGGCCGCTGGGGCCTCCTTGGGAATCCAGGGGGCGCCTTGAGGGCCAGGGGCGCTTCCCGCAACGAGGGCGCCCTCGAGGACGCGAAGCTGTTCGCGCCTCGCGCCTCGCAGTTCGGCTCCGACTTCTCCTCGTCCTCGTCCTCCTTTGCCCTGGGGGTCCGCGCGGGAGCGCGATGTTCTTGGCGCCTCGCGCAGCGCGCGAGAGCGCGCCGTGAGGCGTCCGTCTCCCGCAGCGTCCGCCCCACCTCGCAGGACCCCGGCGTAAGTTCCCCCCCCCCCCCCCCCGAACGTCGGCCTCCAGAGGTCTCGAACGTGGTTCCAAGAATAGTGGTTTCAAGAAGGTGGTTCAAGAATAGTGGTTTCTTTTAAGAAGGTTGTGTAAGAAGGTGGTTTAAAAAAGGAGGATGGGAGGAGGACCGGGAAGGCGGGCGCTCTCCCACGCGCCACGGCGCACTTTTTTCCCCAGCCCCCCGCAGGGGCCGCACCGCGTTCGGGGATCCGTATCCGTATCCGTATCCAGAGGTCTCGACCCATTCACGGGGACCCGTTTTTTATCCTGAGTGGTTTTTGACGGTCCCGAGGGCCTGTGAGGGTCCGCAGCGGGATGAAAAAATAGCGAAAACTTGCAGTCGAGATCTTTGTCATGTTTCCAGGGGGAAGCATGCCACGCATGGAACGAGTTCAATGGAAACGAATGTCATTGGATCCGTGAGTGGATGGGGCTATGATGCCTCTTTTGAGTTTGAGCTGGCTGTGATTCTCGCTCGTGCCCGCCCCGTCCCGTCTTCGGGCACTTCGTTCGCATCCCCAGGGTATGATGGGAAGACGGGCCGCCGCCCACGGCGCTCCACGTGCGGTGCGAGGTCTGTGGGGATTGGGTTCGACCCCCGCAGTCCCACTGGTGGAAGCTGCGAGGGGTGTGAGGCCTCGTGGTTGTCCTTCTGGTAAGGCCAGTGACTGTCCTCGCCGGGGGGGGGGGGCAAGAGTGGACGTCCACCGGCAACTTCTCTGGGAGTGACACGTCGAAAGGGGACAGATCGAGGAGAAGGAAAAGGAAAACATATGAGAATGGGAGGGAAGGGGGGGGAAGGGAGGGAGGGGGAGGGAGGGGGAGGTCGAGAAAGGGGAAGGAATCAGAGGGCGATGAGGAGGAGGAAGAGGACGATTACGATGACGAGGGAGTCGGCGAGCTCGTGGAACACGGGCTGCTGCTGCTCCCCGAGGTGCTGCCCCACGTCGTTGCCGTCGACCGTCGACCCCCTACATCGGCCCAGTGGAAGTTCTTTGAATTTTCATCACGACGCTCGCTAGCGGAAGCCGGCGGAAGTAAAACGAGGCGGAAGACGGCGAAAATCAGTCGGAAGGCTTGCGGAAGACAGCGGAAGTAAATGACGCCCCGTCCGATCCCCCCTTTGCCCCCGTTGAAGCCTAGCAATGTAGTCTTCTGCCGTGGGCCGGGCGGGATCCCGCCTAATTGATCCCCCTTTTATATTATAGTTGTAGTTCAGCCAGACTAAACCCCCACCCGTTTATTTATTTATTTATTTATTTATTTATTTATTTATTTATTTATCTATTTTTTAAATTATATATATATATATCCTGGCGAAGGTCCCAACCATATGCAGTTGTGGGTACCGTAATTGTGAATATCTGCTTCGGTGAAGCTCCCTATGGGGCCACGAAGTGCTGCACTGGGCGGGGGGGTGCGCTGTACTGTGGTGGTGGTGTGCCGAATTGGCTTTCCAGGACGCATTCGGACAGTCCCACTGAGGGCTTCGGTAGAACTCCCTATGGGGCCACGAAGCGCTGTACTGAGTGAGTGACAGTGCCAATTTGGGTTTCCAGGGCGCATGCGGACGGTCCCACTGGGGGTTTCGGTCGGTGGAGCGCCCTATGGGGCCACGAAACGCTGCACTGCGCGGGTCAAAATGCCAAATTACATTTTCCGGACGCATGCGGACGGTGGCATTGGGGCCTTTGGTGGAGCCCCTTATTGGGGCCACGAAGCGCCGCATTGGGTGACCGAAAATGCCAAATTGGGTTTCCGGGACGCATGCGGACGGGGGCACTGGGGCCTTCGGTGGAGCTCCCTATGGGGCCACGAAGCGTTGTACTGGGTGTGCGGGACGCATGCGGACGGTAGCGCTGGGACCTTCGGTGGGGCTTCGTATGGGACCACGGAACGCTGTACTGGGCGTGCGGGACGCATGCGGACGGTACCACTGGGACTTTCGGTGGAGCTCCCTATGGGGCCACGAAGCGCTGTACTGGGTGGGCGAAACGCAGGGAGGAGGGGGAAGAGGGCCACGAAACGCTGTAATGGGGTGTGCGGGACGCATGCGGACGGTAGCACTGGGACCTTCGGTGGAGCTCCCTATGGGGCGAAACGCTGTACTGGGCGTGCGGGACGCATGCGGACGGGGGCACTGGGACCTTCGGTGGGGTTCCCTATGGGGCCACGAAGCGCTGTACTGGGTGGGTGAAACGCATGGATGAGGAGGAGGAGAGCCACGAAACGCTGTAGTGGTTGTGCGGGACGCATGCGGACGGTAGCACGGGGACCTTTGGTGGAGTTCCTTATGGAGCCACGAAACGCTGTATTGGGTGTGCGGGACGCATGCGGACGGTAGCACTGGGACCTTCGGTGGGGCTCCCTATGGGGCCATGAAGCGCTGTACTGGGTGTGCGGGACGCATGCGGACGGTAGCACTGGGACCTTCGGTGGGGCTCCCTATGGGGCCACGAAGCGCTGTACTGGGTGGGCGAAACGCAGGGAGGAGGGGGAAGAGGGCCACGAAACGCTGTAATGTGGTGTGCGGGACGCATGCGGACGGTAGCACTGGGACCTTCGGTGGAGCTCCCTATGGGGCGAAACGCTGTACTGGGCGTGCGGGACGCATGCGGACGGGGGCACTGGGACCTTCGGTGGGGTTCCCTATGGGGCCACGAAGCGCTGTACTGGGTGGGTGAAACGCATGGATGAGGAGGAGGAGAGCCACGAAACGCTGTAGTGGTTGTGCGGGACGCATGCGGACGGTAGCACGGGGACATTTGGTGGAGTTCCTTATGGAGCCACGAAGCGCTGTACTGGGTGTGCGGGACGCATGCGGACGGTAGCACTGGGACCTTCGGTGGGGCTCCCTATGGGGCCATGAAGCGCTGTACTGGGTGTGCGGGACGCATGCGGACGGTAACACTGGGACCTTCGGTGGGGCTCCCTATGGGGCCACGAAACGTTGTACTGGGTGGGTGAAACGCAGGGAGGAGGGGGAGGAGGGCCGCGAAAAGCTGTACTGGGTGTGCGGGACGCATGCGGGGGGTTGCGCTGGGACCTTCGGTGGAACTCCCTATGGGGCCATGAAGCGCTGTACTGGGTGTGCGGGACGCATGCGGACGGTAGCACCGGGACCTTCGGTGGGGCTCCCTATGGGGCCACGAAACGTTGTACTGGGTGGGTGAAACGCAGTGAGGAGGGGGAGGAGGGCCGCGAAAAACTGTACTGGGTGTGCGGGACGCATGCGGGGGGTAGCGCTGGGACCTTCGATGGAACTCCCTATGGAACCACGACGCGCTGTACTGGGTGTGCGGGACGCATGCGGACGGTAGCACTGGGACCTTCGGTGGGGTTCCCTATGGGGCCACGAAGCGCTGTACTGGGTAGGTGAAACGCAGGGAGGAGGGGGAGGAGGGCCACGAAACGCTGTACTGGGCATGCGGGACGCATGCGGACGGTAGCATTGGGACCTTCGGTGGAGCTTCCTATGGGGCCACGAAGCGCTGTACTGGGTGTGCGGGACGCATGCGGACGGTGGAGAGGAGGAGGGGGCAGAGGAGGAGGGGAGAACGCGGGGACTGCTTCAAAACGAGGACCCCACACCACTGGATGGTTGGGAACAAAAAAGGTAAACAAATATCCTGGGCCGTTCACGGATCCCGCCATGCTGGGATCGGCTCGAAGAAAAATGGGGCTCCGCAGTTGCAGTATTCCTGCCATGTCAGGGTCGTTTTCGTATCATCTGGAGATCATATTCGAATATTTCGGTCGTGCTTGGATCGCGCAGCCGTAACGTGTTCATTATGGGCCACCCGCCCGTGGATCCATCTTGTTGCCATCGGGCCATTTCGGCGTCACTCGTGGTTCTTGGGTTCGGTCATCTCTGAGCCGGCCTGCGACGGTCCAAAACGTGTTGGGGTGGCGTCATCCCAGGGCCGTCTGGACGATATCGTCTGTGGCATCAGGCACTCCTGGAACCACTTTGTGACCACGGGGGCGTCTTGGGATCGCGCGCGCGCGAGCGTTGAGCACGTGCGCGCGACAACTGATTTCGCCGATGGGCATGCGTACATTTATTTCTTGTAGCGAGTTTCCAAGGCAAATTTTGCTGGAGCCAAGTAATGCAGGTCGAGGTCCCGCCCCCGAAGACGATGATGACGACCCCGTCGAAGTCCCAGTCCTCGCCGTCGTTGCCCTCCAGCATTTCGAAATATTCCACCTGGCCACCCCCGCACCCCAGCAGCGCGCCCAAGTCCCCGCCGCCGTCGACAATGCCGTCGGGATGATGGAGGGACGACGGGAGAATGACGAGAAGGAGAAAGAGGAGGAGCAGGAGGACGACGACGAAGACGATGAGAAAACTGAGCTCCATGAGCAGATTGGGCGCGAAGGCGTGCCCTCTTCACAAAACGAGCCGTCCTGAAGGCCCCGAATTGGGCATCGCCGACGTCGCCGATGCATCGCGGATGCGTCACCGATGCATCGGCGATGCGTTGGCGATGCGGCTCGATCCGCCGACCCCACCATCTACTCGGACCCCATCTAGGATCGAACAAATATGTAATACAAAACGCGCCATAAACATAAATCGTTGACGCTCCACGCGGATTTGTTGGATCCGCGCTGGTCCCCCCTGGCGGCGCCCCCTGCGCCGCAACAGGAAGGGGGGTCCAGCGCAGATCCAAGAAATCCGCGCGAAGCGCCAACAAAAATATGCTTATGCGTTGTTTCTTCTCTTGCGGGAGGCCTCTGACTTTGGGCCAGGGGTAAGTCGGGCATTCGACAGGAAGAATATTCAAACATAGTCAACAATTCGTCTGGGGCGATTTTAGGATTAGTTCTGTTTTTGTTTAATCGCATTGTTCTCCAAACATCGTCCTGTAGGAGGACGTGCCCGACTTGATTTTGGCCCAAGGGTGATGAAGTCCCGACCCACACGGAAGCACCGACATTGGACGGTTTTCACGCGTCGGGCTTTGGGATGCGACGCTCGTTCGACAGCGTTTCGATATTTTTCTGTGAGCGAGTGCCGAACCTGGAGGGTTTTCACGTGTCGGTCCCTGGGAGGCGATATTCGTTCGACACTGATTCGATGCTTGTCTGGGTGCTCGGAAGGCCTTACGGCGGCCGGCGCCGCCAACCCTGAATGACGACGACGACGAGCGCTCTCCGGGGCCTCTTGGTGGTAGTTTTGGGGCCTCTTGGGAAGTTCTTGGGGGCCGCTTGGGAGCCTCGTGGGGGCCTCTTGGGGTTTCCTGGGGGTCTCTTGGGGGCCTCTCGGGGCCTCTCGGGGGGCTTCTGAGGGGCCTCTGGGGGCTTCCTGAGAGCTTCTCAGGCCGAGGGATCGAAATGCCAGTTCGGGTCCCCCGTCTGGGCTCCCTCTTGAAGCCGTCGTGGGAGCCTCCTCGGCTGTCTTGGAGGCCTCTTGGGCAGTCTTGGGGCCTTTTTGGGTCGTTGTGGAGCTTTCTTGGAGGCCTCTTGAGCCATCTTGGGGCGATCTTGGAGGCCTCTTAGCCTGTCTTGGAGCGTCGGGGAGCTGACAAGGCGAGAATGCTGAAATCTTCCAACAACTTGCGGTAAATCTGCGTTTTCTGTCCCTTGTGGCCGTCTTGGAAGTCCTCTTGGAGGCCTCTTGGGACGTTTTGGAAACCTCTTGAGCCGTCTGGAGGTTGCTTTGGCGACTTGAACCGGTACTTCTGCCATTCGGGGCCCTCGAAGACCATCTTGGGGATATCTTGGGGCACTTTTGCCGCGTCTTGGGGCTTTTCTACGCCCCCGAACCCGCCTGGGGGGGAGTCGCATCTGCCCCGGGACCGCCCTGGGACCGCCCCAGGACCTCCCCTTGGGACCCCCCGGGACCCCCCCTCCCCCCGCGGGGAATGGATCAAAGGGAAGGGGCTTCCTTCCGACTCAACTACAACGTTGCCCAACTTCGACGAGCCAAACGGAACAGCCCCTTCCACACGCCGACAAGGTCCTTACGTGCGATGGGAGCAACACAAACCTTGGGCCGGGGGCACTCCCCGCAGCGCCCAGCCCCCCGAGGCCTCGGAAGAGCGGGCCCGGCTGGCCGAGGCCCGGGCCAGGGCGGCCGAGGAGCGCACGGCGGCGGCGCGGTGCCCGCCCGCCGGGGCAGCCGAGGCGGCCGCCCAAAGCAGCGGCACAGCGGTCGTGTTGCTCAGCCTCGGCCCTACTGCCCCCTTCCTCCTCCTCCTGTTCCTCCTCCTCCCCCCCCTCCTCCTCCTCCTCTTCGGCAACCTCCTCCTCCTCCTCCTCGTCTCCTCCTCTCCTCCTCCTCCTCCTCCTCCTCCTCTCCTCGTCCTTCTCCTCCTCGTCCTCCTCCTCCTCCCTCCTCCTCCCTCCTCCTCTCTCCTCCTCCTCCCTCCTCTCCTCCTCTCCTCCTCCTCCTCCTCCTCCTCCTCCTCCTCCTCCTCTTACTCCTCCTCCTCCTCGTCCTACTCCTCCTCCTCCTCGTCCTCCTCCTCCCTTTCCTCCTCCTCCTCCTCCTCCTCGTCTCCTCCTCCTCGTCTCCTCCTCCTCCTCCTCCTCCTCCTCCTTCTCCTGCCCCTTCCGACCTCCCCCACGTGCTCTCCCGACGCCGCCTCCGCCTCTGGCTCGCAGAGGCCTGCCTCTGCCGCTCCCTCCCCGCCCCGACTCCTCCCCGGCTCCGCCGCCCTGCCAGCCTCGCCGCTGCTGCTCCCGCTCCGCCCGCCCCGCCTTGCACGCGCGAGCTTGTACTTTGGAGATGTGCCGGAAGTTGCCATTTTAGGGCCTCGTTCTTCGCAGGCCTAGAGGTTGACACCAACACCAATTTCGGCGGTGTGCCTCCAACGAGGGAAGAAGATCCGGATCTCGGTGATGGTGGTAGTATTCTGGCTTCCAAGGTGGCCGAGATATTACCACCAACTCCGAAATCTAGGATCATCTTCCCCCTATGGAGAGGCAACCCCCTGTGTTGGTGTTGGTGCCAATTTCCAGGCCTCCAAGTTCTGGCGCAGCGTCGCCCACATCGGGGAGGGCTGGGCTCGCCGCGTCGCTGGCCAGAGTGCCCGACAGTGGAGTCCCCGCCGGAGGGGCGCCGACCAGAGCCCGCAGCGCGGGGCGGGCCCACGCCGCCGACGCTCTGGGCACGGCGTGCCTTGAGATCCTGGCGTTCCCAGACCCCTTCGATCGGGGGCGGAAAAGAGGGGGGTGATGACTAGGGGGGGGTGGATATCATGGCGCGGGCCATGATATTTCCCCAGATGTCATGGCGCCTCTTCTTATTTCATCACGTCCCTGGCCCCCCCGCTGGGCCGCGCACATGCCGCCGGTCATGATTTGCGCCCCCCCCTCTTGGACGCCCCCCTCCTTGCCGCTCCCGATTCGAGCAATGAGAAAATCATAACGGGAGGTTTTCCCGCATTCTCCGCCGTCCAAAAACAACTCAGGATGCAAAGCCGGTCCCAGGGAATGGGTCGAGACCTTGGGGGGTCGACGTTGCGAAAACTCATGACGTTGCGGGTCTGCGTTGCAGTTTTTCGAGCTGGGCGTTTCCCATGACTTTCGGGCCCCGGGGACCCTCACAGATCGATCCGGCTCGGATACATGGCGCAGAAAGGTGGGGTCCAGGGCTCTGGTCGTGATTCTGCACGACGTAGGCTATCTTAGGCTTCGGGGAGTCCTTACCTGGCCCCAGGGGATGGGTCGTGACCTCTTGGGGTCGGCGCTGTGAAATTAATCATTGTGTCGGGGGTCTGGGTGATGACCCCAAGCTCTTGGCGGGCGGAAGAATCCACATTGTCGGACCGAGGTAGAAGATCGAGGTCGGTTCGAGGAGGGAGCCCTCCTGTTGTTCGTGCTTGTTGGATGTCCTTGTGCATCCCGGGGGGAGGGGCTGCCCTCGAATGTGTTCCGGTTTGGCTGGCGGAAGGTCTCCTCTTCTTGGGGGATGTTGTTCTGCGTCTGCGCCGAGGTCTGGCCGTACCAAGACCCCCACAAGTCATGAACCAATCACGACAGGAGGCTTTTATGTTTTGAGGCTTCCGGGGGCCCTATACCGGGTCCTGGGACCGTCGAAGAACCACCCAGGATGAAAAACATGCCCCCGTGGAATGGGTCGAGACCTTTTGGGGTCGACGGTGTGAACAAAAATCATGGCGTCGGGGGTCTTGGTGATGACCCCACGCGTCCAGCGGCTCGAACAGATCTATAGCTGTCTCTTTGATTCTCGGGTGGGGATCGACTACTGAATTGATTGTCCTTCGAATATACGATCGAATGAATGAATGCTCTACGGAGCATACGTACGTATGTTTCGTAGAGCGAACAAATGGGGTACATCTTATTATGTAGTCGATCCCCTACTCGACTTTTGTGGCCCCCTTCGGGGTCCTAAAAGGCCCCGCTGGGGGCCCTAAAGAGCACATTTTCTGCAGCCTTCGTTGCCCCCCATGCATCGCCCCCTAGCAGTTCGCGCCCAACACAGGGCCTGAACAAATCGAGCTGCCCGATGCCTGGGGCCTTGAAACCGCCCCCCCCTGGTCGCCGCGGTAGGTCTCCAGCCTGGGTGGGTGGTGTCCCAGACCTCTCGAATCATGAAAAAGACACGACGGGAGGTTTTCTGTATGTTCAGGCAGCCTCCAGGGGTCCTTGCCGGGTCTCCGGGCCGTCAAAGAACGACTTGGGAGGAAAAAGCGGTCCCAGGGGGTCGACGTTGCGAAAAAGATCTTTGGGGTCGACGTTGCGAAAAAGATCTTGGCGCCAACATCGCAGAACGGCTTTCGTTCGGAAAACAATTCGATGGGCCAGGAGTGTCCTGGAGAATCTTGTTCCGGATTTCGAAGTGATTTTCGTTGGGATTTTGTAGGGCCAGGAATGAAGACTAAAAGCATCCACGTGAAATTCACTTCGTCTTGCGCTCACCGCTACGGGGTTTTGCACCGACAGAACTCCACACGCAAAAATCCGCCACCGCACGTCTGCAAGGTCGGCGCAGTTAAAACAGATCACGACGTCGGGGGTCTGGGCCTCCGGTGTGGCTGGGCGGGGCGTGCTCGCGGGCCCGGTGCCTCAAGCGCCTCCTCCCGTCGTGGGAGCGTGCACGCGGCCCCCGCCCGGAAGTCCGGCGCCGCCGAGATTCGATCCGGCCAGAGCCCCAGACCCTATCTCCTATCGCTCGACGTCGGCGTCGGCGTCGACGTCGGTGTCGGCGTCGACGACGGTGTCGGCGACGTCGGCGTCGACGTCGGTGTCGGCGTCGACGACGGTGTCGGCGGCGTCGGCGTCGACGTCGGTGTCGGCGTCGACGACGGTGTCGGCGTCGTCGCCCTGCGAAGCTGCTGCTGCCGCTTCTCGCCTCGCCCCCCCCCCCTCCTCCTCCACCTCCTCCGCCTCCTTTTCCTCCTCCTCCTTCTCCTCGACCTCCTCCTCCTCCTCCTCCTCCTCCTCCTCCTGCTCCTCGGCAACCTCCTCCTCTTCCACCTCCTCCTTCTCCTCCTCCTCTCCTCCTCCTCTCCTCCCTCCTCCTCCTCCCTCCTCCTCCTCCTCCTCGGCAACCTCCTCCTTCTCCTCCTCTCTCCTCCTCCTCCTCCTCCTCCTCCTCCTGCTCCTCGGTAACCTCCTCCTCCTCCTCCACCTCCTCCTCCTCCTCCTCGGCAACCTCCTCCTCCTCCTTCTTCTTCTTCTCTTCGCCCTGAGTAGGACGCTGGACCCAGCGCTTCGGGCAGAGGCGGGTGCAAGAGCTCAGCCCAAGTGGGGGCCCCAAGTAGGGGTGTCCGGCAGTGGGGCAGGTGCCCCCGCACGTGCCCTGTCCATGGGGGGCCCGTCGCGCAAGTTGTCGACACTGTTGGGGGCCCCCATGGAACCCGTGCCTGCCGTGTCGCCTCCTCGATGTCCCAGAAGGTGCCCTGGAACAGCGTCGCCGCCACCCTCCACCACCCACAATACCTGCCTGGGCGTAACCCATCTCGCCTGCCACATACCCCGCATGGATAACCGTGCGCACACGCACCCGCACGCACACCAACCACACGACACACACACACAAACACAGAAGCAGCGGGACGCACACGCACACACACACAAACACAAACACAAACACAAACACAAACACAAACACACAGGCAGGACGACAGTTTTGCGTACATACCGACCACCCACGGTGTCACGAATCGGAGCCACGCCAAGAGCGGGCCAGCACGGACTCCAGCGCGGACACCAGCAGCACCAACTCGCAATACCCTGGTTGCCCAGGCATCAAGCGCAGCAGGGAGGACAAAACCTCCTGTGACGGAGCCGGCGGCAGAGGCCAGCCCAGGGCGGCCACCAGCGCGGCCCGCTGATCGGCAAGTGCAGGACAAAGGAGAACTGCATGCGCGACCCCAGCAGCAACGAACTGCCCGCAGATTGCACAGGTTTGCACTCGTGCCCGGGAGCGGCGGCCGCCAACGTGTCCAACCCGCAAGTCCAGCGCGGGCCCGGGCCACGGAGCGCTGCCCCAATAACACGGCCCACGGGAGGGCTCTAGTGGCGGCATCCCGGAGAGGACAGCTACCAGCTGGAAACGACTCAGTGTGGGGGACCGGGTCCACGTGGCGCACGGCAGCAGAGGCCCATTCAGCGCGGCAGCGCGCGGCCAGCACGGACTTGCAGTGGGCAGTGTAATCCTTCAGCTGGGCACCTGGAACTGCCCACTGCGGCCAGTCGGGCACCCCGTACACCCGGAGTAAATCGCTGCTCCGCACTGCCCAACACTGAGCACCGCCTGCCGCGCGCAAGGATGCGCACCGATAGAAATCGTTTTCCGGCAGGAGGTGGGGCCGGGCCCGCCTGCGACACGGATCCAGGACGGCTTGTGCGCCGCCACCGAGGGACAGCCCCATCTCCAGCGCTGCCGCACCAGAGTTCCTCCACGACGCGCCCCCCAGGAAGGCCTTCGCCCACCTCTCGTAGGCCTCGTCAAGCGCGTGGAGAGCACCAGGAGCAATGCACCACAGCCAGCGCGAGAAGCACAACGTGCTGTCCACCTTGGCGTGGAAGGCCTCTAGGGCAACGGACAGGGGGAGCTGCCCAAGTGCGATGAGCCCAACCACCGACGTACACGCCGCCCCGGCGAGCGCCAACCTACTCTGCAGCATCGGCTCGAAGTCTAAGTCAGGCCGCCACAGCAGGCCCAGCCATTTGTGCTTGGGCGCAAACGACAGAGGCACGCCGAGGGGGTGACCAAGGCGTGGGAGCACGAGCGGAGCACCAGCCCGTGCCGCACGCTGGGCAGCAGCACTGCCCGCCACGAGCACGACTGACTTGCGCGGCCCGGCGTGCAGTTCAGCTCGGTGTGTTAAGCACCACCAGGCCACAAGACGCAATACCTCCTCCGCCGCCCCTCTGCTAGAGGCCACGAATACAGGAACGTCGCAGTGGAGCAGCGCCGGCATACGACCGCGGTCGTGAAGGTCCAGGGCGCGCAAGGCAGAGGCCTCCAGGTCGGGGGAGGCGCCAGCATGTCAACGGAAGGCAGCGAGCTGGGACACTCCAGGAGAGGCACGAGCATGTCCACCAAGTGAGTGCGCGGAGTGCCACAACCTAGCCACACGTGCTGCTGCCAAGGGACGGGGACCCAGGTGCTCGTGGCCGCGCCACAACCCGCGGAGTGCAGCGGACGCATTAAACTGTCTGGGAAAAAATTGAAGCCGAGGGGCCCGAGGACGCCGCCCTCGGGCATCCCTTCGTGTACATCCACCGTGCTTAGGCCGCTCAGGGTGACGACCACTTGATCCCACTCGAGGATCGAGCCAAGAAGCGCCAGCGAGCCTGCCTGGACCCCCCCAGCATCGTGCAGCAGGCATAACAGCAGGCTGCGCCACGTGCGTGGGAAGGCATGCACAAAGTCACCATGCACTAACCAGGTGGGCAGCCCAGTAGCACTCCGCGACGCCACCACCTCATGAAGAACAAGATGAGCATCTCCACAGTCACGCACGTGACCACTCTGGCCGTCTAGCAAGGACCGCCAGAGCGGCACGCGGAGCCGCTCGAAGAGGAGCCCCTCCTGGAGGAGCCCATGCTGGCACACGATGCACAGCAGCCGGAAGCTAGACGAGGCAATCCAGGGACCCCGTTTGTACGCCGTCCCCAGCACCCGCGCACGCCGCAGGCGCGGCCGAAGGGCCAGCACCCCTGGCCCCATAAGAAGCTGCAGCGCCCACGCAGTGTCGTCCCACACTTGGAGGTGGAGCTGAAAAACCACACGCGGTAGCAGGTCAGGCGTGGTGGCCGAGGAGGAATCCCAGTTGTCCACGACGCGGAACACTTCCTGCTGCACGATGGGCGCGTCGGCCCACCCACGGCCAATTGAGGCTCGAGCGTCACGCAGCAGACGCCTGCAATAATCGCTCACCTGGGCGGTGGCATCCGGAGGACAGGGCTGGCTAGGGACGCTTTGCTGGACGAGCTGCCGGCGCCAGGCCTCGTGTGATTCAGCGCGGGATAAAACCACGGAGTCTACGACCAAGCACGCAGGGGGCCGAGGCTTTGGGAGCTCCAGGCGGCGGAGACAGTGGGCGAGACCACCAGCCAGGGTCCCGGTGGGAACGGCAGCCAAGGGGCCCACGGCAGCGAGGCGATTGTGGGCAGCGCGCGCCTCGCACCGTGGTAGAACCCACCCGTCTCTAGCCAGGCCCTCCAGAACTCCCAGCAGGACCGCGAAGCAGTCCCCAACCCATTGGGACACGAAGGCTGATGGCCGAGACGAACTTGCAGAACCCCAGCAGGAGGCAAAGTGCTTCGCAAGTTCCCCCAGCCGCGCGAGCGGGGTAGACACCGCTGTGATGCCTGCCCTCCAACCTTCTCCATCCAACCATGCCGGAGGCATGCGTAGAGCTGCAGGGCCCATGGGCTGCGGACAGATGCACCCGAGGTCCGCCTCCAGCAGGAAGTGGTCGCCCAGGCAAAAGTCAACGCAATCAGGCCACCGGCATGGACTGCAGTCCAGACTGTTGTGCACGACAACGCTGGCCGAAAGCCCCGGAGATGCCAGGACAAGATCGATGGCCCGACTCTGCCAAGCACCATGGTGCGTGTCACCTGGACGGAACTTCACTACGCGACGCTGACGAGGCAAAAGAACATCGCGAGGGATGGAGTCGAGCAAGGATGGGTTGCACACCACGAGGCCCGTCTCCACCAAGAGCTCCGCCCACCGCACATCCCGACCTGAGGAGATGTCGCGACCGCCGCAAAGAGAGACGGGCTGCACATTGGCGTCCCCCATCGTCACGAACACCGCATCGGAGTGCTGCGCGCGCAGGCTGTTTACCTCCCGCCGAATGCTGTCCACCTCGGAACCCCACGCCCCATCATCACCTGAACGTGGGTCAGGCGGGAGATAGAAGTACAGCAAGAAAAGCAGCCCCTCAGCCAAACGTAGCTGCACCCACACGCGACGTGCAGACCCAACCCCCATCACGAAATCGAAGTGCGCCTGGAACTCCAAGGACCACACGACCGCCACACTGGCGCACGAAATACCACCGACCGCGTAGATGCCCAATCCCGAGGAGGCGGGAAGTGTGAAAGATTCTGGCAGGCGGGCACCAGGAAGCCCCGCGATCGGGATGCCCAGCTGATTCATGGCGCGCTGGACCGACGTAGGGTGCTCTAGGAGGCGTCGCCACAGCGCTCTCCGGCCGTGCCGGTCCATGCACCCAGTGGGGCCAGGGTTGTCCATTCCCACCCGCAGCCGCTGGGGAGGATGCGGGACGGCAGAGGCAGTTGGGGGGGGGAAGACAAGCCAGGCAGCCATGAGCCAGCTGCAGGCTTTTCACGAGTGCGAGTCTGAGCTCGTCCGCCCTTGCGGGTGCCAGGGGCGGGAAGGAGATATCCCTGTAGCGGGTTTCCAGCAGACGGGCCCCTTCTCGTATGAGACGCATCCACAAGTCGCGACTGAGCGTCAGGGCGTCCGCGGGCACGCGACGCAACCGGCCTGCCACGCTGGGGAGGTCCGCAGCTTCACCCCACTGCTCCAGCAGGACGGACAGCGCCATGAGCAAGAGCGAAACTGCAACAAGATGCTTGGACCTGTGCGACGACTGCGGGTGCACCTCCCTCGCCACTGCGGGGAGCAATCCGCAAGTGCGGACACCACCAAGTGGCGGGAGATCAGCAGCAGCAGCAGCCGGCAGCAAAGCGGGGGGTTGAGCGCGACAACCATGCGACGCTGGTCACCAAGGCGAGCAGGGGCAGCGAGAAGGCAGGCGGGAGGCGTGCGTAGGTCCGAAGAGCCCCGTCATGCACGCCACAGCGACGGTCGCAGGCTTCCCACGTACAAGACCCCAAGCTTAGCCGAACCCACGCGTGGACCCAGAAACGGTGCAACAGGGCACCCGGTGCAAGCACTGCATCAGGGATAATCGCACCAGCCAGGGCCAGGCCAGGGAAAAGGGGGCCACTTTTGGTGGCGAGAGATCGGCTTTCGGTGCAAGCACATCGGAAAAACAGTGCGCCCTGGTTAGTTCGGTCGGCAGCAGGTCGTGGGGCAGCGATCGCAGCAACAGGCGTTTATATACCGGGAGCACCAGCCTGATCGAACAATTCAAAGGCACCTCTTGCAGGCCAGGTTTGAGAGAGACAGGTCACGATAGCGTCAGCGGGTAGAGGCAAGGTATACCGATTCCAGCAGAGTTTGTGATTGAGGTTCCCACCCAGGTAACGAGGAGTGCCAACCTCCCACAACGGACGAAGGACAGGGGAAGGGCGAGAGGGGCGGGGGCAGAGCAAGGACGGGGGAGGCGGAGGAGGGGAGAGGAGGACGAATCGTACAGGCGGACAGATCCAGCCCCCCACCAAGGTCACGGAGACAGCGCATCGGGAGACAGGGCAACACCGAGCAATGCAGGCCCGTCCAAACCGTTACGTTACGGCAACCCAGGGTGAACGCCGAGGGCAGCGGAAAGAGCGGCCCGGGCCGCCAGGCACCCCCCCCGACGCCACGGCCAGACGCAGCCCCGAAAACTGGACGGAACGGACGCCGGGACCAGGGAGCAGCCAACGCGCCCCGCCAAAGCCAACCACAGAATGTTGGTATGCCCGTGCGCACTGCGACTGGCTATCCCAACGTGCTACATAGGAGGAGGGGGGAGAACGACGACGACGACAAGCAGAGGAGAGGCAGGGGAGGAGGACCACGAGCCCAAACGGCTACGGACCACGCCAAGTGGCGGGCGCAAGTGCGCAGGCAGCCCTCGCCAATGCGGAACCCGCAAGCGCGGGCAAGGAGAGGGAGGAGGAGGAGGAGGAGAAGGAGGAGGAGGAGGAGGAGGAGGAGGAGGAGAAGGGAGACCACCGCCAATGCGGGGCCCGCCAGTGCGGGCAGAGGAGGAGGGCGCCGCCCTCAGCCGGGCGACCGGTGCCGCATGCCCGCGCGCCAGGTCCCGTACGGCACTTGGCCCCGCCATCCACGACCATGCCGTCGGAGCCGGAAGCGCCGCGACCCCCAGCAGCGCTGCAGCCCAGGCGGCCGCACGCCAGCTCTGCGCGAGGCCCAGCAGGCGCAGCAGTATGAGGTTCCCGCACTGCGACTGTCGTGCACTGGAAGCCCAAGACTGGCCCCAGCCTGGCCAGCACGCACATGCCCCGCGGCGGCTGGGCGCCACGACTGCCGAGCGCCAAGGGCGCCGGCTATGCCACCCGCCAGCAGCGCCGCGGGCGCAGGGAGCAGCGGCACCACACCGCAGAAGGCCCGGTCGTGCCATGAAGACGATGCAGTTGACGCGGTGCCCACCCCCCCCCGCTCGGCAGGAGGTGCGCCTCGCCACTAGACGTCCAGCCCGCAATGCCACCACTGTTCCACAACAGCCGCCCGCAGCACGGCCGCCCCAGAGACAAGCGACGACAGAAGAAGCGCCGCGCACCGTCACGGCACGCTGGCAACGGACATCCCGCGGCGGGGGGAGCCGCAAACGACGACGACGACAGGGGGGACGACCCCAACCGGCTTGAGCCTCCTTCTCCTCCTCCTATGGGTACGTGTGCTCCTTGGAAGAGAAATCATGAGTTGTTTGCTCCTCCTCCTCCCCCTCCTCCTCCTAATCCTCCACCCTGTCATTTTCCGACTGGCATCGAGCTGTGAGTGCCCCAGGGCTTGGAGCCCGGCGATGCCAACAAAAATGGCAGCGCCCCAAGCAGAGGGCGCGCCGGCGCCACATTGTCGCGACTTCTCTCCGCGTCCTTGCCCCCCCCCCCCCCCCCCGCGTCGGGGTGGTGTGCAGATGTGCCCCGCGCCTTCCGACATGGGATCCTGCCCAGAGCAGGCCTCGGCCACGCGGGAAGGCTTCTCGGATGCACCCCTGCTTCTTCGAAGGCACGGGCCTTGTCCGCAGGTGTAGGGCCGGCGCCTTGTAAGACGCAGCCTGCTTCCCAGAAGCCTCCCCCCGTCCTTCTACTCTTAAGTCGGGCATGTCCCTGCACAGGATAATTGCCACGATTTGTGCGTGCTCTTCATACTAGTTGTTGATGTTTGTGTTCCTATTTGTTTCAACCATCCTGTGGTGTTGGGTCCTGGTTTTGAAGAGACAGCGCCCCGCGTCCCACCTCCTCCCCCTCCTCCTTCCTAGCCTCCTCCTCCTCCTCCTCCTCCTCCTCCTCCTCCTCATCATCATCATCATCATCATCATCATCATCATCATCATCATCATCATCATCATCATCATCGTCATCATCCTTTTCCTCCTCATCATCATGAGCATCATGGCCGTCATTATCACCCATTTTGGCACACCCCTCAAACGGTCTGTGGTCCCATAGGGAGCTCCACCTAAGGCCCCAGTGGCGACGTTCCCATGCGTCCGCGCCACCTATTTTGGCACACCCCTCACACAGATCGTGGCCCCGTATGATATATATATATATGGAATCATCATCATCATCTCCATAATCATCCTCATCCTCATCCTCATCATCATCAACAACATCATTGCCGTCCGCAGCACCCCATTTTGGCACACCTTTCGCACGCTCCGTGGCCCCATAGGGAGCTCCATCCAGTGGCGACGTTCCCATGCGTCCGCGCCACCCATTGGAGCGCCACCGAAGACGATATCCACACTTGCGGTACTCACATCTGCGCATGGTTGGGTCCTTCGCTGGACGATTTTTCCCTACCTAGGCTCTGCCTAGAAGGGTTCTTACTCTCTTAGCTTAAAGGGGCCGGGCAGTGGAACACGCCCCGGGCGGTTCCCCCAGTCCCCTGGGAGCGGTTCCCCCCAGTCCCCTGGGAGCTTTAGCTTTAGCTTTAGCTTTAGCTTAGCTTTAGCTTTAGCTTAGCTGTAGCTTAGCTTTAGCTTAGCGTTTCGCTTAGCTTTTCGCTTAGCGTTTAGCTTAGCTTAGCTTAGCTTTAGCTTAGCTTAGCTTAGCTTGAGCTTAGCTGTAGCTTGGATTTAGCTTAGCTTTAGCTTAGCTTTAGCTTAGCTTTAGCTTATTTAGCTTAGCTTTAGCTTAGCTGTAGCTTAGCTTTAGCTTAGCTGTTGCTCAGCTTTAGCTTAGCTTTAGCTTAGCTTAGCTTTAGCTTAGCTTTAGCTTAGCGTTACTGTTACTACTAATGCTGCTTTCCTAGGGGTCCCAACTCCTAGGTAGGGTCGCACTGGGATAATCCGTAAGGGCTTCGCCCCCTGCCGCCGGCCCCCTCTCTCGGAGAATGGGCCATGGAAGATGAGGTTTTGGACCCTGACCCCGCGGATCTGCGTGAGGGGTGGCACCGAATTTCAGACATGTGGCAAATCCCATTTGTTTTTGGACCCTGACCCCGCGGATCTGCGTGAGGGGTGGCACCGAATTTCAGAAATGTGGCAAGTCCCATTTGTTTTTGGACCCTAACCCCGCGGATCTGCCTGAGGGGTGGCACCGAATTTCAGAAATGTGGCAAATCCCGTGTGTTTTTGGACCCTGACCCCGCGGATCTGCCTGAGGGGTGGCACCGAATTTCAGAAATGTGGCAAATCCCGTGTGTTTTTGGACCCTGACCCCGCGGATCTGCGTGAGGGGTGGCACCGAATTTCAGAAATGCGGCAAATCCCCTGTGTTTTTGGACCCTGACCCCGCGGATCTGCGTGAGGGGTGTCGATTTTGAGCCCCCCCAGCAATTCAGACAACGCGCCCAGGTGGTGCTAAAAATCTGTTTGGGCCTCTCTCCCCTCGCGCGGTCAATCAACTAGTTACAATAACCAGCAAGAAGCAGAACTGTAACACTGGAAACTACAAACTACAACTGGTACAGGAAACTGCGAATCACGGGCCTACAGCCTGGTGGCCCCACAAGGGGGCCGGCGGATTTTTGTGTTCAAGTTTCGTCCGTAGGAGGACATGCCTGACCTAACCCTACCCCCTTGGTGCGCGCCGCCTCAGGCGGGCCCGTCTAGACAAGCGCCGGCGGAGCGCAGCAGGAGGGGACGGAGGGGGCAGAGCTGCAGGGGCGGTCTGCCGAGAAGGCCAGGGAAGGCTTTTCTTTCGGTATCGTTTCACCGATCTCGGTCCCCACCCCATCCTCACTCCGATCCCCACCATCCCACCACCCCCGTTGGGGATACGCCCCTCGAAACCCGCAGGGAACAGACTGTGGTTCCTCCTATCGGGGGGAACATCGGCCAGTGGGGCCCTGACCATGCAGGGGGGGTAGGGATCGGTTAAGCGATATAGCCATGCCCAGAAAGCCTTCCGCGGCCCCCCAGAGAGCGACATTTCGGAGGCCTCCCGGCTCCTTTCTGGGGAGCGCCCCGCCTTTTCCGAAGGCCAGCCTCCGCGTCCCACCTCGCCTTGGGCGCCGCCTCGGGAGGCTGGGAGCTGGAGTGGGCGGAAGAGGAAGGCGACGAGGGTCAGCCCGAGGAGGGGAAAGCGGCACCACCACCACCAGGAGTGCCACCTCCAGCCAGGAGTGCCACGATGCCTCCCCAAGCTTGGGTTAGGGGGCCCAGGTGGCTGGGAGTTAGAGTGAGTGGAAGTGGAGGGCGACTAGGGTCAGTCCGAGTAGAGGCAAGCGACACCACCACCACCACCACCACCACCACCACCACCACCACCACCACCACCACCACCACCACCACCAGGAGTGCCACCTCCAGCCAGGAGTTTCACGATACCTCCCCAAGCTTGGGTTCGGGGACCAGGACATTGCCGAGACCTGCACGGGGCATTTCTCGTCTGGCGACCCTCAGGGGCCATCACGCGTGAGCGAACCAGAAATACCATGAACCTCTCACCGGAGATCTCAGCACGACTGTGGCCCGTGGGGTCGGCGAACTGAAGGCCCCCCGGGGCCCGGCGAGGACCCCCAGAGACTGCAGGCGTCCGAAGACCCGGGTGCTTTGAACCCACGACGCGAGGGGAGAGCATGCTACGCATGCCGTGAAGCCAACGATACATACGGTGATGCTGGGATCCGTGAGTGGATCCGCCCAGAATGGCAGGGTTGAGGCTAGGATGCCTCCTGTGATCTCTTGAGCCAGCCGCGATGCCCGCTCGTGCCCGGGCGTGCACGCGCGCCACGGGGCCCGGTCGCGGCGCACGGCCCGGGCGCGGAGGGAGGAGGGAGGAGGGAGGAGGGAGGAGGGAGGAGGGAAGAGGGAGCGGGCGCGCGCGCGCGCCCGAGAGAGCCCCAGAGGCGGTGCAGAGCCAGTCGGCGGGTGCCGGGGCCGTCGTCGGGCACGCTGCCGCAGGGAGCGGCGGCGCCCCGCGGGACGTGCAGGCGGAGCAGGCGGGCGGGCCGCCTGCGATGAAGCCGTGGAGCTCAGGGGGGAAGCAAGCGTAGGGGAAGAAAACGACGCGAAGATCGGGGCAAAATCGGATCGGGAGAACTCGAAATCTCTGAGAGTCGGCGGGTTTGGAGGATGTATTGGGCGCCGCGGCCGCTCCAGAGCCTTCCGGGACGCTCTGAGAGCGCTCTGGAACGCTCTGGAGCGATTTATGCCGATCCTAGCCCTGTTCTAGGGAAACCGACGTTTTTTGGCGAGCGCGTCCTGGATCGACTGCACGCAGGAGTGACCCTTCGCCCGGGCGGCCCTTGGTGCGGGCCCAGGTGGGTCCCCCGATCGCCGAATGCGGTGCGATAGTAGCGTCTTGCGCGCTTGTGTTTGGTCCCCCCTTCTTGCTGGAGCGGAGTGTTCGCCACCCCGCCGCTGACGAAAAAGACGTGTTTGGTCCCCCCGTGGCCCTCCAAAGCCGCGCACCAGAGGATCACTCTTAGCCCAGGAAGCGTGAGGCTCGAGTATCGAGGGTGGCCAAGAGGTGGGTCATGACTAGGGGGGGTGGATATCATCGCGGGGGCCACGATTTTTCCCCAGATTTCACGGCAACTCTTCTTGTTTCAATACGTCCGCGGCCCCCCCTGGGCCGCGCACGTGCCGCCGGCCATGATTTGCGCCCCCCCTCTTGGACGCTTCCCTCTTGGACGCCCCCGAGATTATGCCGGAACTTCGTTTTGCCGAGTTTTTCGACCAGCGCGTCCTGGACTTGGGGGGTCCAGTTTTCGTGGGATACGTTCGCAGCGGGAGCTCGCGTCAAATTCCAGACGGGGGCTCGCCATCTTCAGGATGGTTCCGCCAGGCCATCCTGGGTCCCCGGACCGGAGTCTTGGCCGAGGCAGCCCCCCCTGGCCGCTCGCCCAGGGCCAGCGGCTTCCCCGCGGCGGGGGGGCAGCGGCCGAGGGAAGGGTTTACGGCCAACGGGGTGGGCTCCTGGTGCTCGCGGCGCCCGGCGGAGGGCCCGGGGCCCGTCCCCTCGCCGGGGCCCCTCTCCGTCGTGGCGCCCCGCTCCCATCGGGGGCGTCATGGGCCGGGCCCCTGCGCCAGGGCCCTCGCTCGATCGCCGTCGCGCCGCTAGCGGGGCCCACCGAGGGTGTGCCCACGTGTGCCAACGCGAAACTGTATCTTTGTATGTTGCCCGATTTCTGTAGCCATGTTGGCCCAAGCGCTCTGCCTGTTTGAGCGACCCACCCTCCGCCCTGGGCATCGTGCTCCTGGGTGCGGCACGTGGCCCTGCGCCGCGGTCCCCGGATCCCCCATTAAAAAAAAAGTGACATATCCGTCCCCCCCTGCCTCGCTCAACCGCCGCCGCGCCGCTATCATGGTCAATGACGTCCTGGTCGATCGAAATCGAAAATGTCATCCGTGTTGGCCCAGTACGTTTTGTTCGTTTTGTTTTTGCTGCGCTTAGCAACTCCTGTCGACTGGCGCTCTCAATGGCGCGCCCGGTGAAGCCTGCGTGTTGCGTGATCGTCGTTCCTTCACCTCGCGATCTGAGGCGCTGGTGTTTTGGCGCGGCGCGTGTCCTCTTTGCGGGCGGCGCTAGGCGATTTTGTCCGCTGATGTGCGTTCGGTGCTTGACCTTTCATGCGAGGTGAACATTTCGCCTCGGCGCACTCGCGCGCATTGTTATGGCCGCGCCTCTAAGCGCCTTGCTCGCGCGGTCTGCGCGGGGCTAACTTACCTCACGTGAACGGGCCGAATTGATGGGATTCGCAATCGCATGTGCACTCAGGTGGTACCCACGAGTTTAAGTTTCCACTTTGGATTTTTTCTTGGCGTGTGTGATCAACGTTTGGCATCCAGCATCCCCACAAATTTTCATTAGGTCTCAATATATGGTGGTTTTCATTCGCGACAACGTTGATCATCGGTTTCCGGTTTGTCAAAAGTACTATTGAATATTGTTGTTGCCCTTGTTTTGTCGCAGACGTTTGGGTTGTCCGAACGCCATATCGCGTCAGGCTGCGTCTCGTTGGTTCACGGGGTCGCACCGCTACTGCGCGCCAGTGCTGGTTGGATTCCTCAGCGTATTGTTTTTTATTCCATTTGCTACGTGATTCGCTGTGGTTCCAGCACACCTCACGTGCTCGCGCGGGGCTTCTTCGTAAACCCAAGATAACGGTAGTCGCCGTGAGTATTTCGCGGTCGTTAGTAGCTGGCCCGCCCGTGATCTTGACCACATGGTTAGCCAGCATTCGTAAACGCTTCAGCTGCCGCGCCGACATGAGGGGGATCATTTTCGATCAACGATTTGTCGATCAACCGGGGCTCCTCTTTATAATGGTAGTCGAAGATGTTGCCGGGTATTATGGCATAGATTCGTAAATAATGCGTCAGCGGCAGCAACGTCATCATTATCATCACCACCGTCATCATCAGGTTCATCATCAGCTTCGTCATCCTCATCACCGTCACCATCATCGCCATCGTCATCATAATTACCGTAATCGCCATCATCTTCACCACCAGCGTCAATATCATCGTCATCGTCAGCATCATCATGATTGGCATCATCATCATCATCATCATCATCATCATCAGCATCATCATCATCATCATCATCATCATCATCATCATCATCATCATCATCATCAACATCATCATCATCATTATTATTACCAGCATCCAGAAGGGCCCTTCCCCAGCACAAGGTGCAGAGACTCCAGGGCCTGCTGTCGTGGGCGCCCGCGGTCTCCAGCAGTTGCCCCGCGCCCTCCACCGCGGCCCGCGGCGGCGCCGCCGAACAGCTGTGGCAGCGCTTCCGCAACATCGGGAGGCGGCGCAGCCGCAGCCGCAGCAGCAGGAGCAGGAGGCCCGGCAGAATGCGCAGCGAGCGCCGCGGCCGCAGCTACGAAGGCGGGCGCACAGGAGTGGCACCCTTGCGGCAGAAGGCATTGCATGAGTTTATGTACACATCCACGAGTGGGATCCATGGAAGGAGCCACGACAGGCCACCGTCTTCGGGGGCTCGGGCTCCCTCCCCCGGGATAGTCCACAGAGGGCCCTGAGAGGACCAGAGAGGCTTCCAAGAGGCCCCCAAGAGGCCCTGGAGAGGAGGAGGAGGAGGAGAAGGAGGAGGAGGAGGAGGACCCAGGATGCTCCAGAGACGCCTCCAGCAGGCTCCGGGAGCCACCAAGGGGCCCCAAGAGGCCCCACGAGACCCCCAATAGGCCCCCATCGGGGATTCCACGCGACCGTCCAGACGCATCCAACGTGCCCTTGCGAGGCTCCACAGCGCCTGCCATGCACATTCTCTACAAAATTCTCGGGTGGAGCATCCGAATGTTTACTAGTGCTCTTCATCATTGCACTTTTCGTCGCCGTCATCGACATTCATATGTTCCCAGAGAAGGTTCTGCGAAAATCTTCTCGCCCCTCGTCCTCCTCTCCCACATCGCCAATGAAACTTCCGAGAGGCCTCGTGTGGGGGCCTTCCGAGACCCCCTGGACGCCTCAAACATGTTTTTCATAAGTTTTTCGGAGACCGCCTGGAAGCCATCTGAACATCGACTCCCCCATTCCTCCTCCTCCTCTTCCGCCTCCGCCTCCACCACCTCCCCCTCTCCCTCTCCCTCTCCTCCTCCTCCTCCTCCTCCTCCTCCTCCTCCTCCTCCTCCTCCTCCTCCTCCTCCTCCTCCTCCTCCTCCTCCTCCTCGTCGTGTTTCTTGTCCTCCTCCTTCTTCTGCAGGATACGGTCAACCTTTGCGTGTCTGTTAGGATGCTCCATGCAATTGGGGGGGTACCTGGAAGGGACTCGTACACTCATCGCTCAGGCTACACAATTGAGAGCAGAACATCTTCGAAGCCGAACGGGTGGATTCCACAAAGGCCAGAGCGACAAAAGGCAAAGTGCATCTTTCCATGTATGTTGTTCCGTATGTGTTGGTTTTCGGATTGTGGAGCTTCTGGGGTTCTCGAACGGCAGACGAGGATCGCAAAGTCGTCGCTTCAAACAGCCTAGGAGCCCCACTGAAGGCCCATGAGAGCCCCAAGACACCCCAGGACCACCCAAAACTGATCAAGAGGACGTCGCGGAGGCAAAGTCTTCCCAGAGGCCTCGCCTGGAACATCTCGCCGACGACGGCGATGAGAGCGAAGGTGGTGACCATGTTGGTGATGAGGGTGGTGATGGGTGAGACGACGGCAGTGACGACGTAAGCTTTTGGCGTAGCGGTTTCCATGATGTTGGTGGTGATGACGACGGGAAGGTGAACGGAGACAATCCGTCGGGTGCAGAGGGTGATTGTGATAATGACGACGCGCGATTTTGACGTCGCCGCATCACAAACAGCAGCGAACCGATGATGCCAGATGGCGCTGCTGCTGCTGATTAGAATGATGATGACGATAGTTGACAAGTGCGATGGAAATAGCGAGTATGAGTACTACCATCAGGATGATACCGAGGAGTAATGAGGATGAGGCTGACAGCGGAGTAGCAAGAGGACCCCATGAAGGCAAGACGTTTCCAGAGACCTCTGTTGGATAGTCTTGCCGACGACGGCGGTGATGGCGAAGGTGATGACCGTGGCGATGATGAGGAAAGTGATGGGTGAGACGACGGTTGTGACGAAGTGATCAACTCCCGTAGTGTTCTCCATCGTGATGGCGCTGATGCGGATGTTGGTCATGAGAAGTAAGATCATGATCCGGGTGCGGACGATGGATCTGACAATGACGACGCGCGACTTTGAGGTCGCCGCGTTACCAACAGCTGTGAACCCATGATATCAGCCAGGATGTCGGTGATGACGTTGATAGAAAATTTTGATGGCCATAGCGAATATGAGTATTACAATCAGGATGGTGCCAAATAGTAATGAGGATGCGGAGGGCGGGGGAGACGAAGGTAATTATACTGAGGAGTCATGAAGGAAGCGACCATGGCTCGCCTTTGTACATTTCTCGATCCGACGCCGCTTTTGCAGCAAGCAACGGGCCTGCGCTAGAACCTGAGCGCGCGCGATGATGGGAGTTGTGGATGAGACGATGGCTGCGACGACTCACGCGCTAAACATAGCGGGTCCCATCGTAATGGGGGGTGATGACTCGAGAATGAGGACGATGTTGCTGCTGGTGCTGACGATGCTTACGATGCGCGAGTTTGACGTGCAGCATGACCAGCAACACCTTGCCAAGCTGTTAGCAATGGGTATGCTGATGATGAATAAGGCCATGGGTCTAGACATGACGATATTGCTCATGATGAGAAAAGATGAGGATGATGAAAACCTTCCGCACGATAATGGGCATGCGGGTGAATGCGACTATGGCGCGCTTTTTGGCATGATAGATATGTCCAAGCTCTTCCAGTGGGTCCCAAGACTGCGCTAGAACCTTAGCGCCTCAATACGAGCCGCACTGAAGGCCCACACTTCGAACCGATACTGCCCGCCATGATGGCTGTGTCGATGATGATAGTTATTGGCACTTGTGATCGCCATGGCGAATATGAGTATCACCTCCAGGATGATGCCGAGTAGTTCTGAGGACGAAGAAGACAGCGGAGTAGCAAGAGGACCCCACGAAAGCAAGATGTTTCCATAGGCCTCTCGGGTAACATCTCGCCGACGACGGCTGTGGTAGCGAAGTTGATGATCGTGGCGGCGATGCGGGTGGTGATTGGGAGGCGACGGCTGTGACGACGTACATTGTTGGCGTGGTGGTGTCCATCGTGATGGCGCTGATGAGGATGTTGGTCATGAGAGAGAAGATAATGATTCGGGTGCGGACGATGGATATGATAATTACGATGCGCGACATTGACGTCGCCGCATCACAAATAGCCGTGAACCGATGATGCCCGCCAGGATGGTGGTGGCCCGCGAGAATGATTATGTATGGTGCCAATTTGTAATGGGGATGCGGGGAGCAATGGTGGAAAAGACTACAAGTCGCGCGCTTGTTCATACTTGAGCCGACACAGTCTTTGCAGTAACCACCAGATCTGCAGTAGCACCTGTGGGCGCGCGATGACGAGAGTTGTGGATGAGCCGATGCATGCGACGATGCAAGCGCTAAGCATAGCGGGTCCCATCATGATGACAATGGCCCAGATGATGATGAGTTCAGATCGAGGGTGATAATTCGGATGCGGACGATGCTGTTGTTGATGCGCACGATGATTACGATGCGCGGGTTTGACGTGGAGCATCGCCAGCAACATCAGGACAAGGCTGTCATAAATGAATACAGTGAAGAAGAAGACCATGCGTCCTGGAAAGACGACGTTACCCATGGTGAGAGAAGACAAGGATGAGGACGACGCCAGGAAGTGCGATGACCATGAGGATGATAATGCGAATATGGTGCCCGCTAGTGAATGATAGATCTGTCCAAGCTCTTCTGGTGGTCCATCGGGCGGCGCTAGAAGCTGAGCGCGCTCAATGTTTCCAGTACGTAAATACTTGTGTGTGTATATCTATATATATATATATATATGAGCCTGGCCCTTGGGACTCACGCCCCGCACGCCTGTATACAGCAACGTCCCAAACATTGCCCATCTTCGGTCGCCAAATTAGATGCGGCTTCGAATGTCTCCCTGCCGCATGCTCCCGCTTTCCTGTCCTGCACGCGCAATGGCCTCCTTCCACGCCAGACCAACCTAATGGATCAAGGGTTCAACAGCGCAGCGTAGCAAGCCAGCGACGACATGTATGTATGTATGTATGTATGTATGTATGTATGTATGTGTGTGTGTATGTATGTATGTATGTATGTATGTATGTATGTATGTATGTATGTATGTATGTGTGTATGTGTGCATGTGTGTATGTATGTGTGTATATCTATCTATACATATATATACGATCCATGTTCAATTATAAAGGGCCCTACCCTAGAAAGCCGACGCCTAGTTCGGCACCCTCTGGTGAGTTCCGGACGAGTTCAGGACAGCTCCACGACTGCCCGAACATACAGTCTGGACGGGTCACGACTGGCCCAATAAGGCCTCCGACAGGTCGGAGAGGCTCCAGGGCGCTCAAGAGCGCGCTAAGAGAGCCCAAGACCGCTCCAAAGCGTTCCAATAAAATGTGTGAGGGTTCCGAAACTGTCCAAGAGGCCCCCAGAACAGCCCAAGAGGCCTTCCAGAGGATTTGCAAGAGTGCTCCGCGAGGCCACACACATGGACAAGGCCGCCAAGTGGGCCCCTAGACGGCTCCCGAGGGTCCTAAGACGGCCCAAGAGGGCCCCAAGACGGCCCGACAGGGCTTTCCGTAGCCATTTTGGATCAAGGATTTTCTTGCTCAAGATTAGATTTCGCCCTGCCCTCGGCCTGCGTGCTACTTGAACACCATGCCAGCCACGTTGGGAATCAACGGCTTTGGCCGCATCGGTCGCCTGGTCTGTCGCGCTGCGCTCGGCAACCCGGATGTGCAGCTGAAGGCTATCAACGACCCTTTCATGGACCTCGACTACATGGTTTACATGCTCAAGTACGACTCCGTGCACAAGCGCTACCCGGGCACCATCGCCACGAAGGTGGCCGACGGCAAGGAGTTCCTGGTCGTGGACGGCAAGGACATCGCGGTGTTCCACGAGAAGGACCCAGCGTCCATCCCGTGGGGCGCAGCGGGCGCCAGCTACATCTGCGAGTCCACCGGCGTTTTCACTGCACAGGAAAAGGCTGAGCTGCACATCAAAGGCGGTGCCAAGAAGGTCATCATCTCTGCTCCTCCCAAGGACGCTGTCCCGATCTACGTCGTCGGTGTGAACCACACGGAGTACAAGGCCTCGGACACCGTGGTGTCGAACGCGTCCTGCACCACGAACTGCCTGGCCCCGTTGACCAAGGTGGTGCACGAGAAGTTCGGTATCGTGGAGGGTCTCATGACCACGGTGCACGCGATGACGGCCACGCAGCTCACGGTGGACGGCCCGTCCCGCGGCGGCAAGGATTGGCGCGGGGGCCGCTGCGCCTCGCAGAACATCATCCCGTCCTCCACAGGCGCCGCCAAGGCGGTGGGCAAGTGCCTCCCGGCGGTGAACGGCAAGCTTACAGGGATGGCCTTCCGCGTGCCCACGCCGGACGTGTCCGTGGTGGACCTGACGTGCCGCCTGGAGAAGGGCGCGAAGTACGACGAGATCGTGGCGGCCGTGAAGGAGGCCGCCGCGGGACCGATGAAGGGCGTCCTGGACTGGACCGACGAGGAGGTGGTGTCCACGGACTTTGTGAGCTGCAAGGCCTCGTCCATCTTCGACGTCAGCGCTGGCATCTCCCTGAGCGATACCTTTGTCAAGCTGGTGTCCTGGTACGACAACGAGTGGGGCTACTCCAATCGCCTCGTGGACCTGTGCTGCCACATGGCCAAGGTTGATGGCGCCTGATCCGGTTCCGACTTTTTGGGGGCGCGATGCGCCATGAATTTCCCTTAGATTGCCCGGACTGTTCGAAGTCTTCGGGCAGCCCAGTCATCAGTTTTGCTCAAGGTGCGAGATCAGCTCTCCACTTGCAAGGCGTAGGAGGGCCCCAGACGTCGCGTTGCTTCGAAGGCGGGGCAGCCGCAGATTTTCACAAGCGCGCTGCAGTCGAAAACAAAGCAGGCCGGCCCGACAGGGCCCCAAATGGCTCCCAACAAGACCCAAGAGGGCCCGACGAGACCTACGAGTGTGCCCAGGGTGGCCCCGAGACGGGCCCAAGCGGTGCTCAACATGGCCGACGCCCCCAACGACGGCATAGAAGGGCCCCGGGACAGCCCAAGATGGCCCCAAGACGGCCTCCAAGAGGGCCTGGGGAGGCCACGCTCCTCGATTTCGCACGGTGTTTGCACGATGCTTGTCTTACGACGTGCCAGGCTCTTACCACAAAGCACCCGATCACGGACGGTTCTGTCAGCCCTCGGGCCCCGCGATGGCACAGTGACAGACACAGCTTCGACGCCAAGGCCCCCGCCGCCGGACGGCCCAGTGACGGACGCATCTTTCACGCCAAGGCTCCCAAGTGCCCCAGGTGGCGGTCAGGGCTCCCGGGAGCTCCAGGTGGCGGCTACAGCATGTTCAGGCGAGACGGTGGCGCAGGAAGTTTTGAAAGCCAAGCACGACACCAGCACGACAATCAGCACGACCACCAGAACGAAAACCAGCAAGACCACTGGCACGACCACCAGCACGACCAGCCCGCCCACCACCACCACCACAACCATCACTACTTACTCCAGCCACCAGAGGGCAGCTCTTCTGCGGGGGCTTGGGCGCTGGGCCAGATGGTTCGGCGGAGGGGCAGGGGAGGGGGAGGTGCAGGGGGATGACCAGGGAGAGGGGACTATAAGTGGAGGGGCAACAGTGTCTCAGCGAAGGTGGAGGGAGGTAGGCTGGGTGGGGACTGACAAGGATTAGGAGGATTAGGAGGATGAGGGTGACTGTGAGGACCAGGCTAAAGAGGAACGCGGAAGCCCGCGGAGGGAAAAGAGAGGCCGCCTCCCCCGGCGGACTCTGGCGGAAGGCTTTCGGAAGTTGGCGCTCCCAAGAGATGGCATTGCATTGTGATGGGCCTGTTTTCCACCACCACCACCATAAGTTGGAAGGGCAGGGGGTCCTCCTCCTCCTCCTCCACCTTCTCCTCCTCCTCCTCCTCCTCCTCCTCTTCGTCCTCCTCCTCCTCCTCCTCCTCCTCCTCTTCGTTCTCCTCCTCCTGCTCCTCGTCCACCTCCTTCCCCCCTCCAATTCATGGTGGTGGTGGTGGAAAACAGGCCCATCACATCGGGGTTCAGGGTTTCCGGAACGGGCCATGTGGGGCTCGCCGCGTGCGTCGGCTTTCTTGCGGGTGCCCACGGGCCTCTTCCCCTATAGCGCACCCGTCTTGCAAACGCGTGTTGATCTTCTTGGGAGATTCCCCTCGGGGTCCTGCCTGCAGAGATCTCTCTGTAGGTGTCCTGCTGGCCCTCTTGAGCTGTGTTGTGGTGCACGCGCCAAGCCACACGCGCACGTGCACAGAGACGTTCACGAGGAGGCAAGAAGCGGTTAGAGCATCTCACCGATGCTTGTGAATCGTGTTCCCGCGGCCTCCTCTCGTGCGAAGGCCACAGCAGCCGCAGCCGCAGCAGCGGCAGCCGGCGGCGGCGGAAGGGCGAGCGAGGAGCAGACTCGAGGGAGATCGCGTCGCGTCCGAGGCAGAGCCCCGGCCGAGGCCGCCGCCGCAGCCGCAGCGGCGGCAAGCCGCGCCGGCAGCACGCCGGGGCGTGCGAGAGCGGAGCGGGCCCACGGGAGGCGGTTCCGCGTCCGACGCAGGCCGCTGGTCGGGGGCAAGAGGGGGGTGGTGATCGGGGGCGGCTGGGTATCTTGGCCAGGGCCATGAAGGATCGTCAGATCTTATGCCCGAGAGCCTTGCTCCCGAAGCTGGGCCGGCTGCTGTCGGCCATGTGGTTGAAGCTCTAGTGACTCTGGTGCATCACCTCAGACATACATTTGTTTAGAATTGGTTGTCAGCCTTCGTGGAGGGCATTCCGACTGTGCATCGTCTCCCCCCAAAGGAAACAACAACAACAACAACAACAACAACAACAACAACAACAACAACGACAACAACAACAACAACAATAACAATAACAACAACAACAGCAATAACAACAACAACAACAACAGCAACAACAACAACAATAACAACAACAACAACAAGTCGTGCTTTCTGCGCGCGTATGTTAGAATCGTTTGCGGGTTTTTTGTGCGTGTGTTGTCGCAAGAAGCCGTTGCAGAAGCATTGAAGAGCTACGCGCGCGCGCCGTCGCGCGCGCATGCCGAAATCTGTCAAACACCTAGCGTTTCGCAAGGATTTCAATATCGAGGGTCCCACAAACATGTAATAACACATGGCTTTACAACATCATTTTGCAACAAACGGTCTGCGCGGTGGGGTGATTGCGCGAGTAGTGGAGTTGACAATTTTACGTTTTCCAAAATGCATCGCGCAACATGGATTGCGGCGCGCAGATTGTGCAACCTGTGCTTTGATGAATTCCTGCCCACCAAGCCATGCCGAGGCCCAAATCGCAAACGAAGTGAGGAAGGTTATGAGGAAAGTTGGTTTGTGATGGCAGAGACTGTGGAGTGCGAGTCTGGGTGCGTCAGGCCGCGCGGGCGCGGCGAACGCGGCGTGCGCACGGGGGAGGTTTGGCGACCATGGGGAAGTTCAGAAAAGGCACGGGGGACTTGGGAATGACATGGCGGAGTTCAAGGGGGCGCGGGGGAGGTTATATTGAGGCGGGGAAGATGGGAAATACACGGGGGAGTTCAGAAAGACGCGGTGAAGTTGGGATAGACATCGAGGAACTCAGCAGGACATGGGGGGGCCCACCCGTAGCCGGAGGGCCCCAGAAACCCAAACTTTCAACGGGCGGCGCGGTCGCGGACACGCACCAGCCACCGTCAAACATTCATCGCAATCGCCTCCGCATGGGCTGTGCAAGCCAAGCTGCGGGTGTGTGCGTGGGGTGATTGCGCGAGCAGTAGAGCTGGCAACCCCCAGTTTCCCAACATCAATTGCACCACAAATATTGCACCACATAGGTTGCACAACATAGATTGCACAACAAATGTTTCACCGCATAGTTTGCACCGCATAAGTTGCTCCACTGACACTGCACAGCGTAAAGGTGCGTCGCATAGATCTCCCACCATATATCGCACCACGTATATTGAACAACGTAGATTGCTCCACATATGTTTCGCACTCTATCTTGCTAGAAACCCGCTGTTTGGGCCCTCGCTGGCTGACGTTTCAATGCGCTCCCTGGCACCACCCTGGCCCACGCTCGCGCGTCGTGCCATGATTTGCGGCCTCCCTCTGTCGGACGCCCCCTTCTGGGACGCCCCCGAGGCTGCACCAGCGGCTCCGCTCGCCCCTGCGACCGTTGCTGTGCGACGCGCGGCCGGGCCCGCAGCTGGGCCGCTGCCGGGCGAGTGCATGTTCTGGATCGCGCCGGAGGGCGAGGCCGACCCCGTGCTGGCCATCATGCACGAGGGGAAGAGCGCCCCGCAGCCGGCGAGGGACCTCTTCTCGGGTGCTCACGGCTCTCTCCAGGAGGCGCTTCGCTGCGACGTCGGCAGCGAGGTCCGGCTGGCCGACGAGAGCGACAGCCATGCCCAGGCGGAGATCGCGCCGCTCGTCGCGGCCGTGCTGCGGGTCACGGGCGGCACCGACCACGACAGACCATGGTGGGTGTGCAGGGCCAGCGCCCAAGGTCATGCCGCCGTGGGCATATCGGGGAGGAAGGAGGACACGAGGGGACGGAGCCACAGCCGTACCAAAAAGGGGATCCATGTTTGACTCTGCGTGCATCCCCGCCAAGCCCGTCTAGAGACGATGCCCGGGCGAGTTGCCTGGACCAGGGGATTGCTGCAGCAGGCACTGGAACAAGAAAGGGGCAGCCTGAGGAGACCCAAGAGTCAACCATAAATGCATTCGCGAATCTTTCGATGTGGGAGCCTCGTGGCATCTGGCCATCTTGGGGCCTTCTTGTTGCATTTTGCCATCTGGGCGGTAGGGACGACGACGACAACGGCGACGACGACAACGGCGACGACGACAACGACGACGACCGACGACCAAAGACCGACGACGACGATGACGATGGCGGCGGCGGCGGTGACGACGACGACGGCGATTACCGACGAACGACGGCTGACGACGACGACGACGACGACGACGACGACGACGATGGCAACGACGACGGCGACAACGACGAAGACGACGGTAGTGGCGGCGACGACGACGATCGATGATGTAGGGTTGGTAGATTTTGAGACAGGAACGTGACGTAACGTCACTCGGGCCACTTTGGCCCTGGCAGCCGCGGCATGCAGGGCTGGCGGGGCAGGGGTCTGAGGGACCACTTGGGATACTTTGTTTGGGCCTGGCCTCTGCGGTGCACAGGGCTTGCGAGTGAGTGTTCCTACTTCTTCCGCCCCTCCACCAAATTGCCTTTTCGCCCCTACTCCATCGCACTCCTCAGCACTCCACTCCATTTCTCCGCACTCCGTCGCACTCCTCGGCAATTCTCCCCATTTCTCCGGACTCCTCCCTCCGTCTTATTCTTCAGCGCTCATCCCCAGTCCTCGGGACTTTTCCCCACTTCATGGCATTCCTAAGCACTCTACCCCATTCCTCCCCACTCTTCGGGACTCCTCCCCACTTCTCCAGGCTCCTCCCCCGCTTCATCGCACTCCTCGGCACTCTTCCCGACTCCTCCCCACTGCATCGCGCTTTTCGGCACTCCTCCCAATTCCTCCAGGCTCCTCCCTCCACCTCACTCTTCGGCATTCCTTCCCACTCCTCCAAACTCCTCATTCCATCCCACTCCTCTGCGCTCCTCCCAACCCCTCGGCCTTTCATCGCACTTCTTTGCACTCCCCGTCACTCCAGACTCCTCCCTACGTCTCAATCTTCGGTACTCTTCCACACTACTCCTCGGGACTCTTCCCTACGCCTTCGCACTCCTCAGAATTCCAACGAGCTCCTCCCCAGACCCCAGCCCTCCTCCCCATTTCTTCGGACTTCTCCGCACTCCATCGCTATCATCGGTGCTCCCCCAGCTCCTCCCGACTCCATCGCTCTCCTTGGCGCCCCTCCCCTCTCTTCCGGACTCATCCCTCCATCTCATTCCGCGGTACTCCGCTGGACTTCTCCCTACTCCTCGGGATTCCCTCCCACCCCCCATTCCTCCCCACTCCGTCGCACTCCCTCGCACTCCTCCGGAGTCCTCTCGACTGAACACTATCGCAGCCATCGGCGCTCTTCCCCATTTCTCAGGACTCCTCCCAACTCCATCACACTTGCCGGCACTCCTCTCCGCTTGTCGGGCTCCTCTCTCACCCTCCCTCCATCGCACTCCACCGCACTTCCCCCCATGCCTCCGGACTCCTCCCAACTCTGTCGCACTCCTCGGTAACCCCTGTCCCCCCACCCCCACCTCTTTATAGTATTGGCCCACACAGCAGAGCAGGCAGATGGATTGTCCGCCCAGCGACCTGGCATTGAGGGTGCGCCTCCCCCCCCCAGAACCCCCTCCTTTAATATTGGCGTTGAGCAGCCCCACAAAGGATGGAGCGCCGCAGCAACATTGAATAGGGGGGTTGGAGGGGTCTCTGACGGTGGGCTCCGCGGTGTCCAATCATTGCAGTGCTCACTGCGGTGGCGTGGCGAGTCCAGGTCGCTACCACTTGGCCCGGCCATTCAACATTGAGGAGGGGGGCCAGGGGGTCTCAGGGTTCCAACTCCTACCCTGCATACCGTGGCGCGCTTGGAGTCGACCTCGCGTTGAGCCACTGGCCTCGTCCACCCCCAGGGGCCCCGGCCCTGGCCCCCCGAGCCAGCGAGGCAGCCGACGAGGCGGTCCCACGAGGCAGCTCACGAGCCAGCCAACGAGGCAGCCGACGAGGCAGCAGACGAGGCAGCCAACGAGGCACTCCACGAGGCAGCCAACGAGGCAGCTAACGAGGCAGCCGACGAGGCAGCCAACGAGGTAGCCAACGAGGTAGCTAACAAGGCGGCCTACCAGACAACCGACGAGGCAGCCACCAAGGCAACCAAGCAGGCAACCATCGAGTCACCTCACCGGGTAACCAACGATGCAGCCGACGAGGCAGCCGATCAGGCAGCCAACGAGGCAGCCGACAAGGCAGCCAACCGAGCAGTAGACAATGCAGCCGATGAGGCATCCAACGGCAAGGGGCTTCGCCGACGAGGCAGCCAGAATGCGGCGTACTAGGTTGGATCCCCATTGGGCGCCCGCGCCTTGGCATGTGTCGATTGCCGTCGGAGCAGCAAGGCGGCGGAGAAACGAACAGGTGATCCGCATTTGGATTCCAGGTCGTGTGTACCACGATCTTTAAGCAACCCTACGTTGTGCACTGGTTCGATTTCATGTTCTATCGACCGTATTCAGACCCCCCCCTTCGGAGCCCTCAGCCCTCTCTGCCCCCTTCCTGGTGTCTTCGAGCCATCCTGAGGCTTCAGCAGCCATTCGTAAACGAGGTTCCGTGGCAACTTCATCAGATCCGTCTCGGGTCGGTATGGGGGCCTCTCGGAGGCCCTTTGGAGGCTATCTCGAGCCATCATAGGCTACGGGTTGCGATATAAGAGGCCATCTTGGGTCCACCTTGGACTATCAATGATGGTTTAAAGTTCCGCCCGTAACCCTGCAAACGCACACGGGGAGGGCATGGGGGAGGGTTGGAACCCTTTCCCGAAAGGGGAAGGAGGGGGTTGGAAAAACAAGCTCCGTGAACCACTTACTCGCTAAATCGCTGGTGGGGTTCTCCCGGGGGGGGGGTCCGGGTTTTCCCGTCGAGGGGAGCCCGCATCGAGCCTAGATGATCCCCTTCTCGTTTGTCTGGCTAGGGTCTCTCTCCATTCCTTGGAGGACAAAGGGGGGAACATACGTTCAGGCGGTGGCGCCTCGGCCCCTAATCGTTCAGTGGTCGCCGACAACGGGACCCGATGGCCCGCCCCGCCCGGGAGCGCACGGATTCGCCCGCAGGGCTGTCATCGCCGACCTATCGGTGACGCATCGCCGATTCTAGGTCGACGTTTCCCCCCGTGAGCCGGTCAACCGCCTGACCTTGCCCCTTCGCCTAGGTGAGGGCGAGGATCGGGGGGGGGGGGGGACGCGAACGGAAGCGGTCAAGGGGACGGCAGTGTGCACCCCCCTTGTCGCTCTCCCCTCGATTCTCCTCCCTCTCCTCCTGCGTTCCTGTGCCACTGGGTCCCCTTCCAGGTAAACAGGCGGGTAGCAGCCCGATCGTCACCTCGCCCGTGCCTGTCCGAGGGTCGTGGGCAGCCGCGATGTTCGGCAAGGGCGGGCGGGGGAGAGACTCCTGCACCTCGTCGCCTGTCGTGCCCCTGCCCATCGTTCCCACGGCCTGGGTCCCCCGCCAAAACGTGCGTGGGGTAGGTTGGCTTCCGTGGGAGTGGCGCCCCACGGAGGTTTGTTGGGGCGGCACGCCAAGGTGCGCGTCGTTAGCTGAGGGCCCTGGGCGGCAGCACGGTGCAGGCCCACAGCCTCCATGCTGTCCCCATGAGCCCGCCGCGTCGGAATTGTCGGATCGCGCGGCGCGCCAAAGTGCGTGCCGTTCAAGTTTGAGAGCACGAGGGGAAGAACCCGCCGTAGCTTCTGCCCTAGGGTTGAACGCCGTGCTCGGGAGCAACAGGGGAGGAACCCGCCTTAGCTTTTGCTCGACGGGGGAACTCTGTGCTCTTCTGGATGTTATTCATTGTGTCGCACCTGCGAGGGCGGTAATCCTTGTACTACTCCTGTGTTCCTCCTCTCTCCTCCTTTTCTGCAATCCTCCCATCTCCTCCTCATATAATCCTCCTTTCTCCTTTTCCTCCTTATCCCTCCCTTCTGCCCCCCCCCCTACCCATCTCCTCCTGCTGCTCCTCCTCCTCCTGCTGTTGCTCCTCCTCCTCCTCCTCATCATCATCATCCTCGTCCTCCCCGCCGATTGATCGACGACGCATCGCCGATTCCAGATCGATGCGTCCCTTGCAGAGCCAGACAAGAAAACCAACGACGCCACCCCACCTACGGCCCCCCATGGTGCGCCACGGCCAAATGCGGGCCGTAGCGAATACCGTGCAAAACACACACACACACACACACACACACACACACACACACACACACACACACACACACACACACACACACACACACACACACACACACACACACACACACACACACACACACACACACACACACACACACACACACACACACACACACACACACACACACACACACACACACACACACACACACACACACACACACACACACACACACACACACACACACACACACACACACACACACACACACACACACACACACACACACACACACACACACACACACACACACACACACACACACACACACACACACACACACACACACACACACACACACACACACACACACACACACACACACACACACACACACACACACACACACACACAAACCAACAAAAACGCAACAGCCCAAAGCAGAATTCAGGGTCTTACGCTACGGCTCCTGGGGCCGCAGGTGGGGTGGTGTCGTTTGTTGTCTGGTCCAGCCCCCCCCCCTCTCCAGGACAGGAAACGGGCTGCTTGGCTGGCCCTGGCCGTGGCCGCCGCGCGGGCGGCGGGCCGGCCTGCGAGCGGCGGCGACGTCGGGCGACTGCTCCGGCAGCTGGACGGCGTGGGGTGAGGGCACGGGCGGCCCCGCGGCAGTGCTCCCCGCGAGCGGAGTGCTGCGCGCACTCTGCGGGGGAGGGCTGCGCGGGCGGTGCGTGACGAGTGCCAGACGGTCGTGTGCTTTGGCCTGGCGTGTCGTTCCGCCAGCCCTGGCCCGCCACGTTCCGGCGCGACACGCGGCCCACGCCCCCACGCCCCGGGCGTCGACAGTCACGAGCTTTGCGCGGCCTCGCGCCCCGCGGAAACGCTCGGCGGAACGGGGCAACACGCTACCAGCGTGCAGTGCGTAGCTAGCGTGTCGCAAGGGCCGCCACCGCGACACGCTAAGTCAAAGTGCCTGGCCGTGTCGATGTACGAAAGCATAACATATATTGATACACACACATACAATGGGACGGAGAAAACCAGAGACAAAGAGAGATAATACAGCATATAGCAAACAGCAGGAAGGAAAGAGAGAAAGAGAGAGAGAGAGAGTGAGAGAGAGAGAGGGAAGGATATATATATATATAGAGAGAGAGAGAGAGAGAGAGAGAGAACAAAAAAAGAGAACGAGAGAGATAGAGAGAGAGAGAGAGAGAGAGAAAAAAAAAAAAAGAGAGCGAGAACAGAGACGGAGAGGGAATCTCGGAAAGTATAGCGGACATATACGCGTGGGAGGGGAGCGAAGGAGAGCGGGGGAGGCTGGAGGGACAGGAGGGGGGGCGGCATGGAGGCGGGCAATGCAGAGAGGGGGATTTCGTTGGAAACGCGCCTCTCGGTCAGTCGCGCAGCCTGGCTGTCTCAAGCGGCCTTCGAAGGCGCCAGGCGCGCGCCCCGTGTCGCTTCCTGCTCCCTTCGCTTTCCCCTCTCGGTCCTCCATCCTCCACCTCCTCCTCCGCCTCCTCCCTCTGGGCACCGCCTGGCGCAAGCATAAGTCTGCCTGCGCACTGTTTTGCGGGTGAGTGGCGCAACCCTTGGATGGGGCCCGTGCCACCTTCGCCACCACCGCGCACACGCTCCTCCCTCGGAAGAACCTGCAGGAGCACTGTGTAGCCAGATGCCACGCACAGAAAGAAGGCTGAGAAAGCACAGACAAGCTGCTAGGAGGCCGAGTGAGTCTCCCGCTCGTCTGAGATCGGCAGTCCTGAAGAGGCTGCTCAGGATACCTCCACGCTTTGCTGCATGAGTAGCGAGCAGGGTGGCGAGCAAGACTTGGCAAGACCGTGGCGCCGTGAGCGGCTGGCAGCGAGGCGGGCCTGGGCACTCGGCCTGACGATTTGCCGACGCTGTGGCCCCATCCGTGCCCGCAGAGAGCACAGACAGCACACCATGGGCCGGCCACGAGCTTGGAGCCGATGCAGTCGGGGCCCGGGCCCTGAAAAAGGAACCCTTCTCGTTGGGGAGGGGCTCGGTGTTCCTTGATTGTTCTGCAGTTTGCCTTCGGTTTTCCTGAGGTCTCCCATGGGAAATCGAAGTTCAACTCACGGGAGAAAGGGGCCTCGTTCCTTATTTGGAGTTCCTTAGGTCAACGCCCCGACGGTACAAAGCGTGCCTCCTTCCTCCTGCGAGCTCAACCCTGAGATTGGCGAGGTCGGCCTGCGCTGCGCTCAAGCGCACGAGGTGTGCGAGCGGGGGGGGAGGGAGAACACCTTGTGGGGGAGCACGCTCCCTTGGCAATGTTTTCGCCGCGGCACCTCGGAGGCAATGCGCACGGGCGCTCGAGGTATCGAGGGCGCTGGACATGCGAGCTGTCCGGCTGCCAGAGGGGGCGCGCGGGGAGGAGGTGCGGCCGCGGAGAACGGGAGGGAGGGGGAGGGCACTCACAGCTGAAAGCGTTTCAGGATGAGCGCGCTGGGGCGGCCAGCCGGGGCTGAAGTGACTTTGTAGTGGACGGGGACGGCATCACGGCCACACGCAATTTTGTCGGTACATGCTGTGCATCTAGGTCGGCCACCTTACAATCAACCTTGGCACACCACATCGCATAATATTTCAGAACCTGAGCCTTCTGCTTGCGCACATTTCTGAGTTTCTTGCGAAACCCGACTGGTCCGCAAGCCAGCCTGCACACGAGCACGAGTGGTAAGTGCCCGAGCCAAGGTGAAACCTGAAACTCTACCCATCTCATGAATTTTGGCCCATACCACTCGCCAGATCTCCTGCCAAGCACTCTTGCTGCTGCACCAATGCTTCTCACCTCTGGTCATGGCCCAGGAGAAAAAGAAGACGGAGTCTGTATAAAACATTGAAACATTATACCAGGGTGACCTTGCTACCCTCGAAGAAGAGCGGTGAGCCCAGCCGCGTCGATACTGTTGTAAAACACCGCACATGAGAAAGCGCACGGGGCAGAACGCTACGATTGCCCATCCTGCCGTTTGCGCGCGCGCGCTGGCAAATGCTGAGCCGCCCAGCTTCCATCAAAGAAGACACGTCCTCCCATTTCGGTGGGGCCTGTGGAAAGAAACACATCGATCTGGCACTTGCCCAGAGGGAGGGATATCAACATCAGGCACCAGTAGTCTCTCAGCAAGGAGGCCAGCAAGAGGGGAGTTGAGCGAGGGAGTCGAGGTAGGTTGGGATGGATGATGGATTCTCCAGCCATCACCTCCTCACGCATGCCACACGACAGGTGCCTATGCGGCAACGCTCCCGGTGAGCACCGGTACGCCTGACAGGTAGCAGTGTCGCTGAGACCGCACCGCCCCTGCCGGTGCTGGGGCCACTGGCCCACTGGCAAAAGTAATGGTTTGAGATGGCCCGTACCGGTGGGCAGAAGCTTCGAGCTGCTGACGATCTCGACCCGAGGGTTGAGCTCGAAGCCTCTGGCGAGCTCTGGCCTGGCTCCCCTGCCGGCGGCCTCGGGCCACAGCCAGAACTCTACAAAACGACAGCGCGGGGGTCCCGGCTCGGCCGAGAGATCTCTCCGAGAGCGGGGCTGCCCCCCTCCCTCCCCCCTCCCTCCCTCCCTCCCTCCCTCCCTCCTCCTCCTCCTCCTCCTCCTCCGCCTCCTCCTCCCGTTCCTCCTCCCTCACAGATCCCTGGAGCACGCTGCCGAGGCGAAGCGACGCAGCGCCGTGTCGGCACGAGCCGAGAGAGCGGGCCACGGGCGCTGCCGCAGGGACTGCCGTTGCTGTGGACTCGCTCGAGCGCCTCGCTGCTGCTGGGAAGCAGAAAAGCCCCCACCCCGCTGAAGCGTACTCCAGATTTCGTAATAAAGGGAGGGGGGTCTCATTTCGGGGGGGGGTCTCTTCCAGGCTATCTTGGAGAGCCTGGGGGGTCTGGGGACGATGTTTTGGAGGGTTCTCCCACGGGGGAGGTCTGAAATGGCTTGTCTTGGAGGGTCCAGACCCCCTCCCTTTTATTACGAAATCTGAAGCGTCCACGCACAGTGGCTCCATGTCGAGGCGATGTGCGGGATCACGCTTGCGAGCCTGAGCAGGCATCAGGAGCAAATTGAAGCTGCGCCTCGCAAGTCTCTGAACCTGCACGCGCGCCTGGAGCGCGCGAGCAGTGCGCAACTCGGTTCAATGTGTGGCGTCCACGTTGCCCCCATATTTGGGGGAACCCAAGCAGGCAGCCCGCACCATGTGTGGAGGCGGCTCCTTCTTACAACCTTGGGAAACACCGAAGCTTGCGGGCACCAGCCATGGCAGGACCCCCCTTGGCCTTTCGAGTGTCCCGAGGAAGGTGGCGAGCCGCAGACAAAAAAGTAGTCCCGAGATCGCTCGCAAGCAACGCCCTTGAGGCCACGCCTACGGGTCCGCTTCACGACCCGACGCCTGAGGGTGCTGGCAGAGGTAGCGCCACGACCCTCCGCCTCCTCCCGCTCCTCTTCCTCCCTCTCCTTCCGCTCCTCTTCTTCCTCCTTCTTCTTCCCACGACCCCCAACTCTCGCGTCCACATCCCGACTTCCAGCATGCGATATCCGATGTTTCACTTCCACCTCCACCTATCGACCTCCAGCTTCTTCCAGCTCACCACTCCCACCTCCAGCATCAAGCATTCCGACTTTCACTTCCACCTCCACCCGTCGACCTCCAGCGTCCAGCAACGCAGCACTCCGACCTCCACCCTCCAGCAGCATGTGACTTTCCACGTCCACCTCAACCCATCGACCTCCAGCGTCCAGCAGCTCAGCACTCCGACCTCCACCCTCCAGCATCCGACTTTCCACCTCCACTTCCACCTGCCGACCACCCAGCACTCCGACTCCAGCATCCGGCTTCCGACTCTCCACTTCCACCTGCGCCACTTGACCTCCGGCGTCCACCAGTTCATAACTCAGCACCCCGACCTCGGCAAACAAGGAATACAAGCACTGAGGGCGATCGGCCCCCCCGCGCAGGCCCTCAAGGGCCCCGCTCCCGGCGGAACCGCGCGCTCGCCCTCCTCCCTCTCCTCCTCCTCCTCCTCCTCCTCCTCCTCCTCCTCCTCTCCTCCTCCTCCTCCTCCTCCTCCTCCTCCTCCTCCTCCTCCCTCCTCCTCCCTCCTCTCCTCCTCCCTCTCCTCCCTCCTCCTCCTCCTCCTCCTCCTCCTCCTCCTCCTCATCCTCTTCCTCTTCCTCTTTCCTCTTCCTCTTCCTCTTCCCTCTCTCCTCCTCCCTTCTCCTCCTCCTCCTCCTCCTCCTCCTCCTCCTCCTCCTCCTCCTCCTCCTCCTCTTCCCTCTCCTCCTCTTCTTCCATCTCCTCCTCGTGCTCCACCTTCTCCTTCTCTTCCTCCTCCTCCCTCCTCCTCCTCCTCCTCCTCCTCCTCCTCCTCCTCCTCCTCCTCCTCCTCCTCCTCCTCCTCCTCCTCCTCCTCCTCCTCCTCCTCCTCCTCCTCCTCTCCTCCTCCTCCTCTTCTCCTCCTCCCTCTCCTCCTCCTCCTCCTCCTCCTCCTCCTCCTCCTCCTCCTCCTCCTCCTCCTCATCCTCATCCTCATCCTCATCCTCTTCCTCTTCCTCTTCCTCTTCCCTCTCCTCCCTCCTCCCTCCTCCTCCTCCTCCTCCTCCTCCTCCTCCTCCTCCTCTTCCCTCTCCTCCTCTTCTTCCATCTCCTCCTCGTGCTCCACCTTCTCCTTCTCCCTCGCCGCCTCCTCCCTGTCCTCCTCCTCTTCGTCGTCGTCGGAGGCCAGCGCCGGGCGCTCAGGCGAGGAGAGCTCGGTCGGGGGACAGGGCAGGTGGTGAAGCTCGGCCCGACCAGGAGGCAGTTGTGGGCATACGTCGGGCGTGTCCCCCTACAGAGGGATTTTCGACGAAAAATAAAAATACTCAAAAATGCCCTCAAGAAGGCAAAACATAGATTCAAAACATAGTCCCCAGACTATTTTTGGAGCTTTTTTTTTGATTACTTTTGGGTATTTTTATTGTTCGGCGAAAATCACCGTGTAGGGGGACAGGCCCGACCTAATTGTAGGCATACCGGATCTTCGGATCGCTACAGCCCGTGGCGATCAAGCGATCCTTGCCGTCTGCTCCCGCCGTGCTCGCGCCGTGGAAAAGCCACGACGGAGGTTTTGGGCCGTTTTCGGTCTCCAGTGGCTCTCGCCGGGCCCTGGGCTCGTCGAAGAATTGCCCTCGATGAGAAGACAGCCTTGGAGTTAAGTCGGGCCCATTCCTCTACAGGAGGAGCATATTCAAAAAGAATCAAACAATAATATGAGGACGGTTTTTCTCTTATTTTGTTGCCTATGTTTGAGTATTGCTTGGCTATTGTTCATTTTTCCTCGAACCGCCTGTAGGAGGACACGCCCCACCTAATCTTGGGGAACGGGCGAGGACTTCGGGGGGCCCTGATCCACATGCGTCCAGGGGGCCGCCACGAGGCCAGGCGATGCAGGCGAGGGGTGGGGGCGCGAGCGCAGGAAGGCCGCCAGAGGCAGGAGCCGCGG